ATAAAAAATATCGGTACTATTCGGTTTCGAGGGCCGTAAAAAAATTGCACCGAAAATGTACGCGCAAAAGCTCCAAATCTAGCGTACGCGCTGATTTCAGATTGCATAAGTTAATATAGTTCTATATTTCTTAAGACGCCATTGAAATACTAGTTTAATTGTTAAATCCTTTTCTGATATCCTATGGATTTAGCAGTTTGGAAATTGCCCACGACGAAAACTCGGCAATAGAATTTTGGGTAAAGTGCAGAATCACTCACTGCTTGATGCATTTTTAAAGAATTGCACATACTCGCTATCCATGTGCACATCAACCTATTTTCACTTAAAAAAAAATCCTAGAATTGCACAAAAATGGCACTGCACACATCCTTGACTTTATCTATGTACACATCGACCTATTTTCACTTTAAATGTAAAAGAAAATTGACAAAAATCTAATTGTTTTCACCCTCGTAAAAAGCACCAAACAAATAAGTGAGCGATTCTGCACTTTACCGAGAATATTTTCAAAGAAAAGACATCATTCATTATAGAAAATTACGTTTGAACAACCAAGATGAAATTATGCTTTAGCGATAAGTTGGTAGCGAAATAGCGATGCAGCCATCCATTCAGTTATGTTTAGCAATTTTTATATAAATTATTATAATGATCTGAAATAGTTATTACTCTTATGCTTCCATTCAGTCGTGTTTAGCCTTTTTCATATAAATTATAATAATAAAAATGTATTATATGAAATTAACCTTTCATCTAAATTAAAACATCAATATTAAATAGTTATTTACTATTATACTTCCTTTCTTGCCGCAATTATTAGGGTTGCCGAAATTATTTTTGGCAGCATTGGCATGAACAATAGTTTGGTGATTTTTTACAGCCCTCGAAACTGAATCGTACTAAAATATTTTTATAATGGATATTTTTAGGATTCCTGATAAAGTGTTAAATGTTGCTATACATTTTTTAAATCTTTTCTATATTATTTATTAAAAAATGACAGTAACATTTGATGGCAACATCCTTTTATTTGTGTTGCCATAAATTTTTACATTTTCTATATTCTTTAAAAAAAATAGGGGTTGATAACATTTTATATCAGCATTTAAAAAGTGGTATGGACAAAAAAGTAAGGTATGAGTGTAATAGAACTTTCCTCGTCGGTTGAAATATTTATTGTAACAGGCAATGAGTGTTTGGCCACCATCCTCAAAGCACTCTGCCACCAAGCATTTTATAAGGAATGTGGTGATGGTAGCTAGTTTTTAAGTAATTTTCATTTCTTAAGTCTTTAATTTACATGATTATAGATTTCAGCTGCACTAAATTTTCACTTAGTGGTAAAGTTTCTAAACACTGGGAATTCAACCTCTGTTCGTTTCTATGCAAATGAACTGACTCCATGGGTGTTTTTGTGATTTTTCTCATACGTAACATGGATACAAGCCAGTTTCTCTTAGAAAATATTCCACAACAGCATCCTCTTCCCTTAGGCAGATAACTTTCAGATACATTGTGTTAATCAAATAAAGTGAACCATGATTCTTTCTGTTAAGCATATGCTGCACATTTTATCTGCTTTATTTATATAAATCATACTGAGGAAATTAAATGTGGAATTAAAATAAAATCTTGCATTGATACGTTTTCGTGAAAATATTTTTTTAATGTGGTTTCTAAATTGAAGCTTCGACTGAAATAAGCAAATTCCTTCTTTGGTATATTTATCATTTCAGAATTAAATTTAAAATTTGGGAAATTTTTATGGAGGAAAATAATGGAATCTACCAGACACGTAAAAAATGCGTTCCAAAAACTCATTAATCCGATTTGAAAAATTGAATCAATGAACCAAAAAAGAAGTGCAGTAATGGGCAAAACAATTATCAGGAAAAAGAATATGAGTTTTTTTTTTTTTTTTTTAACTGAGTAAAATTGGACAAGATTTTCTTTCACCTAGCTTGATTTTAAACTTTATATATGTGGTAAACAAACAATGACTTGAGAAATGAAACTAAAGTACGATCTAAAATATGCAATTTGGAAATTTTCTCTGAAGTATAAAAAAAGTGTATAAATTAAGGCTTGGATTGTAAAAGATCAGAAAAAAAACTTGTATGAAAAATTTGATTGATTTTTCTTATTTTAACTTCGTTTTAACAAATCAGTGGACAGTATTTTAAAAGTTTTGAAACTGAAAGAATTAATTTATGTGGTGTTAGAATTCACCATCTTTTCTAACTTCATTTTAACAAATCAGTGGACTGTACCTTGAAACTTTTGAAAATTCAAGAATTAATGTGTGTTATGTTAGGATTTACTATCTTTTCTCTTCTTTTCTTCTCACATCTTTTCTCTGCATCTTACTACTGAGTCTTTTAAGAAAATCAAATATAGCTTGAATTTTGTCAGTTGTTAAATTTGATAATCATTCCAACTGCGCCAGGGCCAGCCAATAGCTGGTAATTAAATTTGAAGGAAACACAGGATGAATTACCAGAGTTTTATGGCAGTCATAGTAAAGTCGTAAAACGGTGGTAATGCGTACTGACTTCTTTTTCGTTCAGCTGAATGCATCACTGTGTGCAGTTTTTGTATTTTTATGTATTGTTGTAATATAAGTAATACATTGTTGTGTGCTAATGGATTGAATGCTCACAGAGCCAATGATAGCTTGATAAAATTTGTTTTCACAAAAGAAAAACTTTACAATTCTGGAACTTTCCACAGAAGCACTTGCATAGCTCTTCTCACTGTTACGGAGTACAATTAGTAGTTATGCTTCATACTACTAAGAATGCTAAACACAACACACTGCAAAGTACAACCAAAAGCAAAGCTTGTATGGAGATCTCAGTACTCCAAACTCTTTGCTAAACTACACAACTGTGAAGTGGTGCTCTGTCAAGTTTTATATATTTTTCTGCTAGCTGCTGAGAAATCTAATATACGGTCTACCGGAAAGTTCTGTCTGTTTTTGAAATAAAACAAAGTACAAATTTTTCATACCATCAATAATCTTAATTAAATAATATAATTGCCATGAATTATTAATGACTTTTTGCCAGCGTGAGTGTAGTTTGTATATTCCATTTTTGAAAAATGTTGTAGCTTTTGATGCGAAAAATTGAACCATTACTTATTTGATATGTTCTTCATTTTTTTAATATTTTGCCCTTCAAAAAATTTTGTAAGGACAAAAACAAGTGATACTCGGAGGGAGCTAAGTCTGAGGACTATGGTGAATGCGACAGGATTTTCCAGTTTAGTTCCACAATTTTTTTAAGAGTTCCCAAACAGCAGTGTGGTGTGGCCTGGCTTTGTCATGATGCAGTATGATGTCCTTCCTATTGAACATCGCCAGCCTCTTTTCTTGGAATGCAGTCTTTAAATTATCCAACTGCTGACAATACTTCTCTGAATTGAGCTTTTATTAGGTTTTTAAAAGCTTATAATGTATTGGTCATCGAATGTCTCACCATATACACAACATTATCTTATTCAGAGTCAGATTTGGTTTAGAGGTGGAAGAGCTAGGTTTCGGGGGTTCACAGTATGCCCTTTTCCTTACGATGTTTTTGTAGGTAATCCACTTATCGTCCAGTTCAAGAAGGGCTCGATTTTGTTCTGAGCAAGCAGAGGTGTGCATATAATGACTCGATCATCTTAATTCTTCTTACTTAATTCATGTGGCACCCATCTTAAATATTTCACATCAATCCTATTTTCCAAATATGGTTTGAAATGGTTTGCTAAGCTGAATTAAGCCTATCTGCAATCTCTAACATTGTCAAAAAAGGATCTTGCTCCAACACGATCTTAACAATATCATCGTTGATGGTTGCCCAGAATGTGGCTTGCCAGGAAGATCGAAATCACCTGTTTCAAATTTTTCGAACCATCTTCTGCATGTCCTATCAGAAACTACCTTCACCAAACACTTTCAATAAATTTCTACATGATTCTGTAGCATTTTTTCCTTGTTGAAATTCGTATAAAATACAGTGGCGTAAGTGAACTAGCCATGGGTACACTATTACTTCACACTTAAGACTAAGGTGAATCAGCTTTGTTTTAGTTAATTTGACACTTCAGTATGTATACATTAAGCACTAGAAATAGAGAGCCAAATGTGCACCAAATAAACATGTACGTACGTGTTGAAAATTGTTGTCATAGAAACAGACAGAATTTTCTGGTAGACCAAATAGCTTCCATTTCTTGAAATAACTGGAAGGCGTATATGGTTTAAGTTACTTATAAGGGCTGAATATGGTTGTTGTAACAACACATAGGGATGAATTACATTTATTCAATTAAAATACCAATTATAGTTAGACAGGTTCTAGACCAAAATGTTGCCAATTTTGGCGATTTCTGGTCAGATTTGTGCTGATTGCAATAAATTGGTCAGTTATCAGTTACTTGGCGATATCTCGCCAATTTAGCTAGATAGTTATTTACTCAGTGTTAAATAGACTTGCCCTGTAATCTTATTTCTATTAACAGAGCTTCATTTCTTATGACTTTTCGTGTAACATTATGCAAAAGCTACTGCAGTTTCATATATAACTTTACTTAAATTATGTACTAATTATGTACACAAAATTTATAACAATATGATGAAGTTTGCGGTAGGAGAACCTCCATAAAGGTAAGTCTTCTCGCAGTAGACAGTCCTGATGTGATTTGCTTTATTTAATAAATTCAGTCCAAAACATTAGCTGTTAGTGCTTAACAACAAAATTGTCATTAAAATATTTATGAACTGTTTGTTGGACAGTGGACTTACTTTATTCTATCTTATTTCACTAACACTTTTTTAGCTACTGTAATGCTACTGCCAGGATGATAAGTTTCATATTTCAATGTGAAAATAGATCTTAAAAAGCATATTGTACAAGATACATAAGCATTTGTTTAGCTTAAACTTTCTTATTATAAATTCATAGCATAAAAATAAAATAATTATAATAAATTCCAACTTTTCTTTACAGTACTTCTAAGTGAACCTGTGGGCATCAATGATTTGCAGAATAAAACTCTGAAAATCACAGATTTTGGTTTAGCAAGAGAAGTGTACAAAACCACAAGAATGTCTGCTGCTGGGACATATGCGTGGATGGCCCCTGAGGTTATCAAGTCCTCAACTTTTTCTAAAGCTAGTGATGTATGGAGGTATAAAACTATTGTATTTAAACACTTTTTTATGTATTTGGAATTTTTGTATACAAATCAACAAATTCAATGTTTACAAAGAATATTTTTAGTCTAAAGAAAATATTTTTAAAAAAGGCTGAAATTGATCAGTGCACTTCTTATCCTAAAAAAGCATTTAGAATAAAACATAATGAATTTTTAATTTTCAAATGGCCATACAAATGACAAATTTCAAGTGGCAGTTTTCTAATTCAAAAATTTCATTTTTATTCAGAAATACTCAAAAAGTCAGTATTTGTAGATCTTTGAGACAGCCACAAATAAATTTCATGCAGTGTTAACTTTAATGGATTCTAATAAAGCAACCATTTTTTATTCACTGTTTTCTTCACTGTTTTTGCATGTGCATTTTGTCTTGTTTTGTGTTAGTTTTTCATATTCAGGTCTGTGTTATATTATACTATTATTTTTTTTCATCTATTATTTACATTTCATGCATAAACATAATGGTCTGTAATTTTGTGCATGCATTTTCCTTGTATATTATTCTTATATTTTACATGTTAGCATCTCGTATTAAGTTCTACGTCATATTTAGATTTCATTTGCTTTTTTTTTTATACATTTCCGTTTTACCGGCGCAGGCAGTGAAGTCGCCAATAATGGTACAACTGATGCCAAATGGAATATCCTCGCTGGTAACCTTTTACGACTCATTTTCAAAACACATCACAGACATTTTTTATCAGATTGATTGTTTCTTTTAATACTGGCATACAATTACATAGAATTTTTAGCAGATAGTTCATTTCTAAGACCATCCATGGTAATTAAGTCAATTAGGATGCAATGACACCACTCATCCAAAGGCGAAAATATAGAAAAGGCAAAGAGTTAAATTCATCGGTTCTAATGAGAAAGCACTAACGAAATAAAGCACTGCGGTTTTACATAATTTCTGAGTAAGCTATTCATTCAAATTGAAATAATTCTTGATTTTAAATTTTTATTCAAAATTAAGATTTAACTTGAAATTAATGTAGATAATTACTGAGAGAATTAGATTTTTGTAGCGTAGTTTACGTGAGATGAGATCACTTGTAGTCACATGAAATGAACTGCCAAATCAGGATGTTGAAAACATAATAAATTCTTAAATTAATGTCTTTTTACAAATCTATTGATTTTATTTATTGGCATTTTACAAAATTTTAAATGGTATTAAAATGTTTATGCCTTCAGAATAAACAAATTCCTAGAACTAACATCTGTTAACATTTTTTATATGCATACTGTATGTTGTCACCAATAAAGTCTGCTTGGTGAAATCTGCACTGGCGAAATGGAAAAGTACTCCTTTTTAATTTATATTTAATCTGTAAACATGTTAACTAATTTCAATTTTCCATCAATCAAGAAAGATATTTTTCTGTCCCTCCAGTTAAAGAAAATTCTGTAACAAGCTAGATATTATGAGAACAGTTATGAAATAAAACTTTACAGTGAATTTATATAGATGGTTAAGTAAACAGTGCTTCAGTTAATGGAGCTGCTATTCAAAGAATATATGGAAAATGAACCTTGATTACCTCATTTCCGTCCACAGTTCCATGTATAGAATGCATGTCAATGAGCTTCTTGTTTGTGTAGTGATTCATATCTCTCAAAATCTGCACAGGGAGTAATGATTTTGACCAGAAGAAAATACTTTTATTTGCTGCTCAATGTGCCATTTTTATACATATGTGCCATTACAAAATTTGCTTATTTTGACCTTTCTACCTGCCTTTATATTTTTGCCAGATATTTTTTAATCCCCTTTTATATTTTAGTGAACTTTCTTATCAAAATTTTTTTATTTAGTTGTTTTATTATCTGTTTCAGATTTTGTAAAACTTTAGCGAATTTTTAATTGACAAACTCAACAATTTCAAAGCGAGCAGCGGCAACACTGTATGAAAAAATGTTTTTATCTTCAGCATGCGAGACTGTGATTCAGAAATTCTTAAGATATGCTCATTTTAAAATTATTTTGTGATATTTGCTGTTGAACTGAATTTTATGGTTTAAGTGCGAAGAAGATGATATTTAATAAATAAAGGTAACCCACAAAATGTTAAAAAAAAAACGCCCTTTTGGGCATAATTTAAAATCTGAAAGCTTTCCATATTTTTTTCTTTTAATTATTTTGTTATTGCTAATAAGAATTTACCTTGATTGAAGCAGATGGGTAAATATAGTCTTTTCTGCTCACATTGCATTATGTGTTGTGGTACAATTTTTGTTTCAGGTGTGTGCTAAGAATGGAAAACCCAAAAGCTCGTTTCATCGTATTATCTTCTTTTATTTAAAAAAATGGGAAAATGCCAGTCAGACTGCTCATGAATCTTGTGCTGTATATGGACAGAGTGATGTTCTGATGGCACAGTTCGAAAGTGCTTTGAGAAGTGCGGAAACTTCAGCTTTGAAGATGATATCTACTCTGGATGACCATCTTTTGTAAACAATGACCTATTAAAAGAAGATACCTCTAAAAATCCACAGTAAATATATTCCGGGAGCTATTAAATAGACTAAATATTCTGAAAAGTACAGTGTACCATCATTTAAAGAAGACTAGGTTCTTTCTGATTATCTGCAGCCTCAATGAAAACTCGCAAAACTTATTACTAACTTTTGAGAGCCTTCATGAACTCATTGGTGACATATTTTTCATCAACATAATATGGAAAAAGCAACAGTCATTTTCAATATGGTGGTGTACTAAGAATTCCATACAAGATCAGTAAAGTTAAAAAAAGCAAGAAACATTGGTAATAAAATACTTCTCTTTTTCACAAATTTTGTCCTATTATGGCTGTTTATCAACCCATGTACAAAGCAATCTGTTTTCATTTAACAAAAAAAAAAAAATCAGATAATTGCACTAAATCAGTTCCATATAACTTCTGCCTTGCTCGCAAGTTAAAACAAACCTGTGCTGCATGCACACGTGTTGCCACATGAATACTTTTTGATGACATACTACTTTGCCTTATGACTATTACTTCCTGACTTTTCAGCTGGAGTGCAAATAATCAACAGGTACATAAGTCCCTACAATGTATTAGTAGCTTTAATAGAACAGAATATTGCTCAAATTTCAGCATGCATTTCTTATCCAAAACAAAGTAAAGAGGCTTTTTAGGTGTTTTATACTATTTGCACATTAGAATGCTTGATGAAACCTTATAAAGATGCAAATTATCTTCACATTAGAATTTATTTAAGACAAGTTTTGCAAGTCTGGAAATATAACAACATTTCCGAAATTGAAACAGTAGGAGCTTTTAACATCGTACCCTCCGACGCCTGTCTGCTTATCCTCTTCTCGAGCCGTGCCACCACCTTTCTCCTTTGTCTTCATCCAGTGCACGCCTTTCAAGAAATGTAGTCCGGTGATCGCTACAGGCGTCATTTTTGAAATGGCTCATTACCTAAAATAAGAAGCAGATGCTATACAGTAACGTTAAAAATCATGTGATAAGACAAAAGAAAAACATTTAGGGGCTGTATGTAATGTTTTGTGTATGGTGGGACTGCGAAGGAGTTGTATGTTAAAAATAGTTGCCACCAAATCGGGAAATAAATTTGGAAAAATACTGTTCCAAAATAGCAGTTTAAAAGCAGAAATCAAAGGAAAGCATTTAAAACTGATCAGTCATCATGGTATCTTCTGTCATGACAATGCTTAGCCTACATTTGGGTGAACTGGCACAGAGATTTATTAAATATGGCTGGAATATTTTGTTCACTCCTCATGATCACTGCACCTTGCTGCCTCAAATTTTTATCGCTTGTGGTCACTTCAAAACTCTCTTAATGACCTCTAGCTCACTTCTTTGGAGGCTGTCAAACTGCACCTCAATAACTCCTTTATAAATAAACCTAATGACTTTTAAAAAAAATTCTCCAGCTGCCACAGAATTTTCAGAAAGTCATAGAAGAAAATATAGATGTTAATGTAATGGTAAACTTTATCTCTGACATAATATGCAAATATTGAGTAAGTAATGAAAAATTAAAACATAAAAAATATGGTTTTAAGTTATGATAAAACATTTAGGCAGATTCACAAAGTTCACTAACTGGGGGCAAAGCTATCATTTTGGCATTATGTTAAAATCATTGATTATTCTCTTTGCAGGTTTCAAATAAATTAACAATATAAGTTTGCTGTGATCTTAGTTTGATTTTCCTGACTGTGCATAGTTTTGACAGTTTTGTCCACCCTTCATAAATAAATGTAGTTTTATAGAATTGAATTTTCATTTAGTATAATTTTCATATTTACATATTTCATTTTTACTAATATTATAAGGCCCCCAATAAAATTTATCTTTTATAGTATTTCAGGCATTCATAATTATTGTCATAACATGTTATTCTTTTAAAAAATTACAAATGATCATTTCTGTTGACAGTAAAATATAACCCATTGAAAACTGACAGAAATATTTTTAAGCTAGTTTAAAACTCCTGAAAATAAAGAAATAGATCTTTCTGCTAACTTGTATTAGTTATTCTTAAGGTAACTTATATTAAAAATTTGTAATTATAAAAAACTTGAAATATTTTCAATTACATACTAAACTTTATTTTCTTAGCTAAATAAATTGGTATACTTAGAAGCAAACGTAGAGTAGGTACATTTGGTACCAAAAGTTAAATGAAATTCTTTTATAAGTATTGACTACATATTATTTGTGTACAAAGTCTTTTAAAATAAAATTATCTTTAATGTTTATAGCTATGGTGTACTTTTATGGGAGCTTCTGACTGGAGAAACGCCATATAAAGGAATTGATGCTTTAGCTGTAGCTTATGGAGTTGCCGTGAATAAACTTACACTACCCATTCCTTCAACGTGTCCACTGCCATTTTCATATCTTATGAAAGGTTGGTTGATTAGTTCATTAAAAGTTTATTGCACAGATGAAAATTCATTCCCAAAAAGAGCTTAGAAAGTAATAATAAACATTGTATGAATACCTGATATTTCCTACTCTGAAGCTGAAATTAAATATAAATATCGCCAAAAAAAAGTGGTAAATGTCTAAATTAAATAAATGCCAATGTTGAATGGAAACGTAGAAGTATTACATTAAATAAGGGTCATTACATTAAATAAATGAATTAATAATTGACAGATATCGTAATAAAAAAAATTCTCTTGAGTGACTTTAATTATTTTATCAAACAGTACAAATAGTAACTCAAATTTATATTTATCCTAATTATTAGCAGAAGCTTAGTTATGCTCTCTGTTTAAATTTTAAATAGAGAATAGATTTAAACTTGTTAATAACCTTTGTTATCCATTTGTATTAAAACTGCAGAAATATGTGTGAAGAATATGTAAATAGTTCTTGAGTCATTAAGTTATATCGATGCAGGAATGTGAAAAATTTGCAGTGCGCTTGCCAGGATTCATACTCTGGATTTTGAGTGGGCTTCTGGTTATGCCAAAAAGGCCATGCAGAAAGGTGGGAGAAAATACCTTATCTAGTTTTTATCTCTAAGCTTAACTGATTTTTTTAATGTATTTTTGCCATTTAAAAAAATAGTTTTTTATAAAAAATAGTATGTGTGCTTTATTTAATAATGTATAATAATTATTTTTCAGAAAATATTTTATAAATAGTTTCAGAGTGGTTTTGAGTGTTGAAGTTGTAGTTTGCAACCCATATTTACGAGGGTTGGAACTTTAATAGTGGCAACTATTTATTTACAAGGAATACAAAAGTGATTCATGTCACCATGTTTTACAGTCCTTCAATATAGTCGCAGAATACCTGTAGCAGCGCCTGTTTTGTTGATAGTTTGAATGGACCGGTCTACTGCCGCAAGAATCTCAGGAACAGTTAGGAAGCGAGTGCAACGAAGTGGTTCCTACATCTTAGGAATTAAGTCAGAGTCACAAGGGCTTAGATCTGGAGAGTATGGTGGTTGGTAAAGCACTTCCCAGCCCCATCGCTTGAACAAATCAGTCACAGCTTGCGCTGCATGCGGCCGAGCATTGTCATGCAAAATGAGAGGAGCGTTCTGCAGAAAGTGTCGCCGTGTTTTTCTCAGAGCTTGTCGGAGATTGTGCTCCAAAAATGAGCAGTAATACTGCGCAGTGAAGGTCTGCTGGGGAGAACGGTATGCGTCAGGATGACACCATCACAGTTCGAACATGAAAATCACCATAACTTTCACATTGCTGGGGTTCTGACGAAATTTCGAACGTGGTGGTGACCTGTGATGACGCCATTCGTTTGATTGGCGTTTCAGTTCTGGCTGGTACGATCGCGCCAAGTCTCATCCAGCGTAATGATACGGCGTAAAAAAGCATCTCCTTCGCGCTCATAGCGCTCCAGGTGGGTTCGGGCAGCATTGTATCGTAGCCATTTCTGCATTTCCGTCAATTAATGATGTGGAACCCATCGTGAAGCAATTTTTCTCATGGACAGGCCATTCCTTCAGAATGTGCAAGCACAGTCGTATGCGCTAATCCTGTTTGTCCAGCCAGCTGACGAATCGTTTGGCGGCGATCACTGTCCATTAGTGCGGCAACAGCTTGCACGTCTGCATCGCTGACACTCGGACGACCTGGCCGCAGCATGTCTGCCACGTTTTGGCGTCCTTCATTGAATGCTTTCACCCATCTTGCTACGGTTCTGTAAGGCAATGCAGATTCCCCGCAAGCCTCTTAAAGCCCTTGATTACACTGTCGTGCTGTACAACCTCTGGCACATTCAATTTTCATCCAACATCGTTGTTCTTGTTTTGAAAACATGGTGACAACACTTACTTTAGACCGCGGGCTAATACAAGGATCCCTTCTTCGCGTCACTCCGCATGCGCGTGACGTAGGCAGGACGAGTCTTTTTGCTGAGAGTTAAGGTAGGTATGTAGTTCACGTGTGGTATACGCGATATTCTTTGGTTTTGTTGCGTAGCGTTTTTTCAGCTGTGTTGCCACTATTAAAGTTCCAACCCTCGTATTTTCTTAATATGTCTGATTTGAAAATGAAATAAAAAAATTTTCACTTGTTGCATAATAACTGTAATTATGAATTCATATGTAGATCTCTATGTATTCTTAGTGAAAGAGAAACATGCTAATGTAAAATTTAAAATTTGACATAAAAAGCAACTTTAGTTTGGCATGCATTTTGATTAAAACTGTATTGATATTAGGAGCAATTACTCAAACTCTATTGATATCAAGCTATCACATTCCTTTCAAGAATGTCAGAAAACGCAGAGCCAAAAACATTTTTGCCCCTGAAGAAGAACTTCTGTCTGATCACTCTGAAAATCGGGTGTTTTCATTGCTTTTTCTTATGTCCAACAAGCACAAGCCAGCCTTCTATGAAGACTGCCCTCCTGTTAGGTAGACACATTTGTGTGCTATACCATAATCATCTGAAAACCATTCTATCGTAGGTTATATACTTCTCTTTTTTGTATTCCAACCTCATCGACAGAGCTCATTGACATTAAAAATAATGGCATACTCTGGTTCCTGTTATAGAGGCTCTAAATGGAACTGTGTAAAGCCATACTGTCACCCGCAGACTGTAAAGAAGGAAAGCAAACTCCTAGAGCACTCTTACCCAGAAACAGTGTATTTTGTCACATAGTTTAAAGAGAGCCTTGCTGTGCTATAAATTTAAGGTTGCATTTCTTCCCCTAATCTATATGTATTATTTAAAAAAACATTTTTCATTTGAATATAATGTTAAAAAAATTAATTCAAGTAGAAATCAAACAAATTTATTTTAAGAAATGCATTGTAGTAAATATAATGCAGTATTTATTATTAGAAAAGTTATTTGTATATTATCTCCAAGGAAAAGAAATTTAATTAATGCTATGAATTCTAAGAAAAAACTTTCCAAGTAAGTATCCAAAGTTATTTATATCTATTGTAGTAAAAAGTATTTAAAATCTGTAAACAAAAATTCTTTGATCATAAAAATCCCAAATATTAAATTCAAAATACAAAGTACTAAAAAAGTAGCTATTGTTATTGATCGCAGATTAATTGACTTGTCAAGGGGAACAACTACTATCAATTAACAATAACCAAATTAAGTAAGAGTGTCTTTTTTCAAATAAGTATCAAATTAGTAATTTTGTAGAGTTGGTTTATAAGTGAAGAACAATAATAAATTATTAGAAAGATATTGGTCAATTAAAGCCAAAAAAAATTTTTATCATAAATAAAATCTAAAATAAAAATTAGTAATAATTTAAGGTATACGTTAAGAACTGAATTAAACAATATCCTTATTTTAAAAGAAATGTTCCCCAACACTCCCATAGTATTATAAAAATACTTTAAAAAATTATCAATATTTCTACAAATTAAGATATATAAAAGAAGCCATAAATAGAAAAAAATGTATAATGAATGTATTATTTTAGATTAAAACTTTTTCTATACTCAAACTCAAAATCAAATGTAAAATGAATATATTATTTTATATTAAGACATTCTTTTGTAATCAAATCCAAAGTCGATAGTTAAAATAATATTCATTCTTTCTGATAAATTAAAATGTTAATTTCAAAATCAAAAGTACAATTAAAATTTATATATTCCTTTATATTAATATGTTAATATAAAATAGCTGTTTACATACATATTAAGAACAATGCCAGGAAGGGAATTAAAATTAACTTGCTTGTCTGCAAAATTTAAAATGAAATGGTAATACATGTAAATGTATTCAGTGTTGGAATGTAGTAAGGTTGCTGTAATAAGTGGTTGGCAAACTGATGTTCTCTATTTGAGATATGGTAGCCTTAAATTTGGGAGAAAATCTTACTGTTAGTTAAAATTGTAGTCAGAGACTAGATTTTTTTTTTTATTTATTTATTTAATTAAACAAAAGAAAATAATTGATTCTTTTCTGAAATGGTCTAAAAAAATACAAAGAAGAAGGAGGTATCGTCACGGATAGAAGGCTGTTTACCAGACTGAGAGAAACATGAAATAAGTCCATTAATTAGTAACAGACTAGAATACCAGAAAACATTTTGTAATTTGCATTATTTACAAAATTTTTTTACAAATCTTTAACTAACAGATATCCAACTTATTCTGCCTTTTAAAGGTTTACGGATAAATTATCATAACTGTATTAGTTAAAAAATTTAAACACAGTATTTAACACTTACTTTCTTGAGACAGTAGTTTATAGATTTATCTGGTAATAAATTATTTTTAAGTGCTTGAATTAGTAGTAATATTTTGTATTGAATATCAAGTGCATCGGTAAAAATACTTTTGAATCGTTGTATTTGACTAATGACTGTGTTGCTGATTACTTTTATGGAAATGTTCAGAGTCCAATTAATTGTTCTCCAAAAATGAGCAGCAATACTGCGCAGTGACGGTCTGCTAAGGAGGAACGGTTTGCGTTAGGATGACACCATCACAGTTGTACACGAGAATCACCATAACTTTCACATTGCTGGGGTTCTGACGAAATTTCGAACATCGTGGTGACCTGCGATGACGCCATTCGTTTGATTGGCATTTCAGTTCTGGCTGGTACGATCGGGCCCAAGTCTCATCCAACATAATGATACGGCATAAAAAAGCATCTCCTTCACGCTCATAACGCTCCAGGTGGGTTCGGGCAGCATCCTATCGTAGCCATTTCTGCATTTCCGTCAATTGATGTGGAACCCATCGTGAAGCAATTTTTCTCATGGACGGGCATTCCTTTAGAATTAGCAGCACAGTCGTATGTGCTAATCCTGTTTGTCCGACCAGCTGACGAGTTGTTTGGCGGCTATCACTGTCCATTAGTGCGGCAACAGTTTGTATGTCTGCATCGGTGACACTCGGACGACTGGGCCGCAGCATGTCTGCCACGTTTTGGCGTCCTTCATTGAATGCTTTCATCCATCTTGCTATGGTTCTGTAAGGCAATGCAGATTCCCCGCAAGCCTCTTGAAGCCCTTGATTGCACTGTCGTGCTGTACGACCTCTGGCACATTCAATTTTTATCCAACATTGTTGTTCTTGTTTTAAAAACATCCTGACAACACTTTCTTTATTACTTATTAGTTGCAAATTTAAAGTTCCTGGTTTTGTCATAGAGTTTTATGTGTGTGTAGTTAACTATTCGAAAATCTAGAATTTCAACATTTTGTGAAGAATTAGTTTTATTAAGAATGAGGATTTCGGAATAAATTTGGGAATTTTCTATTTTGTTAAAATTATTAAAAGTGATGAGATTATCAATGTATCTGAAACTATGTGCATATACGAGGGTTGGAAATTTAATAATGGCAACTATTTATTTACAAGGAATACAAAAGTGATTCATGTCACCGTGTTTTACAGTCCTTCAATATAGTCGCTAGCATTGTGTACAACCCGTTTCCAACGATGTGGAAGTCACAGAATACCTGTAGCAGCGCCTGTTTTGTTGATAGTTTGAATGGACCGGTCTACTGCCACAAGAATCTCAGGAACAGTTTGGAAGCGAGTGCCACGAAGTGGTTCCTTCATCTTAGGAATTAAGTCATAGTCACAAGGGCTTAGATCTGGGGAGTATGGTGGATGGTAAAGCACTTCCCAGCCCCATCACTTGAACAAATCAGTCACAGCTTGCGCTGCATGCGGCCGAGCATTGTCATGCAAAATGTGAGGAGAGCTCTGCAGAAAGTGTCACCGTTTTTTTCTCAAAGCTGGTCGGAGATTGTTCTCCAAAAATGAGCAGCAATACTGCGCAGTGACGGTCTGCTAAGGAGGAACGGTTTGCGTTAGGATGACACCATCACAGTTGTACACGAGAATCACCATAACTTTCACATTGCTGGGGTTCTGACGAAATTTCGAACATCGTGGTGACCCGCGATGACGCCATTCGTTTGATTGGCATTTCAGTTCTGGCTGGTACGATCGGGCCCAAGTCTCATCCAACATAATGATACGGCATAAAAAAGCATCTCCTTCACGCTCATAACGCTCCAGGTGGGTTCGGGCAGCATCCTATCGTAGCCATTTCTGCATTTCCGTCAATTGATGTGGAACCCATCGTGAAGCAATTTTTCTCATGGACGGGCATTCCTTTAGAATTAGCAGCACAGTCGTATGTGCTAATCCTGTTTGTCCGACCAGCTGACGAGTTGTTTGGCGGCTATCACTGTCCATTAGTGCGGCAACAGTTTGTATGTCTGCATCGGTGACACTCGGACGACCTGGCCGCAGCATGTCTGCCACGTTTTGGCGTCCTTCATTGAATGCTTTCATCCATCTTGCTATGGTTCTGTAAGGCAATGCAGATTCCCCGCAAGCCTCTTGAAGCCCTTGATTACACTGTCGTGCTGTACGACCTCTGGCACATTCAATTTTTATCCAACATTGTTGTTCTTGTTTTAAAAACATCCTGACAACACTTTCTTTATTACTTATTAGTTGCAAATTTAAAGTTCCTGGTTTTGTCATAGAGTTTTATGTGTGTGTAGTTAACTATTCGAAAATCTAGAATTTCAACATTTTGTGAAGAATTAGTTTTATTAAGAATGAGGATTTCGGAATAAATTTGGGAATTTTCTATTTTGTAAAATTATTAAAAGTGATGAGATTATCAATGTATCTGAAACTATGTGCATATACGAGGGTTGGAAATTTAATAATGGCAACTATTTATTTACAAGGAATACAAAAGTGATTCATGTCACCGTGTTTTACAGTCCTTCAATATAGTCGCTAGCATTGTGTACAACCCGTTTCCAACGATGTGGAAGTCGCAGAATACCTGTAGCAGCGCCTGTTTTGTTGATAGTTTGAATGGACCGGTCTACTGCCACAAGAATCTCAGGAACAGTTTGGAAGCGAGTGCCACGAAGTGGTTCCTTCATCTTAGGAATTAAGTCATAGTCACAAGGGCTTAGATCTGGGGAGTATGGTGGTTGGTAAAGCACTTCCCAGCCCCATCACTTGAACAAATCAGTCACAGCTTGCGCTGCATGCGGTTGAGCATTGTCATGCAAAATGTGAGGAGAGCTCTGCAGAAAGTGTCACCGTTTTTTTCTCAAAGCTGGTCGGAGATTGTTCTCCAAAAATGAGCAGCAATACTGCGCAGTGACGGTCTGCTAAGGAGGAACGGTTTGCGTTAGGATGACACCATCACAGTTGTACACGAGAATCACCATAACTTTCACATTGCTGGGGTTCTGACGAAATTTCGAACATCGTGGTGACCCGCGATGACGCCATTCGTTTGATTGGCATTTCAGTTCTGGCTGGTACGATCGGGCCCAAGTCTCATCCAACATAATGATACGGCATAAAAAAGCATCTCCTTCACGCTCATAACGCTCCAGGTGGGTTCGGGCAGCATCCTATCATAGCCATTTCTGCATTTCCGTCAATTGATGTGGAACCCATCGTGAAGCAATTTTTCTCATGGACGGGCATTCCTTTAGAATTAGCAGCACAGTCGTATGTGCTAATCCTGTTTGTCCGACAGCTGACGAGTTGTTTGGCGGCTATCACTGTCCATTAGTCCTGCCGGCAACAGTTTGTATGTCTGCATCGGTGACACTCGGACGACCTGGCCGCAGCATGTCTGCCACGTTTTGGCGTCCTTCATTGAATGCTTTCATCCATCTTGCTATGGTTCTGTAAGGCAATGCAGATTCCCCGCAAGCCTCTTGAAGCCCTTGATTACACTGTCGTGCTGTACGACCTCTGACACATTCAATTTTTATCCAACATTGTTGTTCTTGTTTTAAAAACATCCTGACAACACTTTCTTTAGACCGCGAGCTAATACAAGGATTCGTTCTTCGCGTCACTCCGCATGTGCATGATGTAGGCAGGACATGAGTCTTTTTGCTGAGAGTTAAGGTAGGTATGTAATTTACGTGTGGTATACACGATATTCTTTGGTTTTGTTGCGTAGTGTTTTTTCAGCTGTGTTGCCACTATTAAAGTTCCAACCCTCGTATGAATATTAAATCATTGTAGCATAAATGTATATATGTTATCTTATTACAGGTTGTTGGAACCCTGACCCTCATGCTCGGCCTACATTTGTAAACATATTACGTGAACTGGAGGCAATATCACGCTCATCCTTTATGAATACACCTCAGGAATCATTTCACTCTGAACAAGAAAAGTGGAAATGTGAAATAGAAGAAATGTTTAACGAACTGCGATGCAGAGAAAAAGTAATAAAGCCATTTTGGCATTTTCAATTATTAACAAAAAAAAGTTGTTTCTGTAATTTAATCTGAAGATGTTTAAGGGGCTATGTGAAGTCAAATTTTACAGGAGCAACAAAAAGCTATACCATTCCTCACAAGAATGTCTTAAAATGTTTTAAAAATGCTGAATTAGGTGGATTCTAGTTACAGGAATCTTATACTTTTTTGTTGTTGACTTTTGTCACACAGCCCCTTTTTGCATCTTCTCATTCAATTATTTCATGTGAAATGTTTGCCCACTTTGAGCATTTAACTTGTCTTCTTACTCTTTAAACTGGATAAATTTTATAATTTGAAGAGGTTAACATTAAAACTTCTGTAGTCTGTAAAAAAAGTTAAAAATTTAGTTGCATATAGAATATTCACAATCTATTCCTCCCTACTGCAATATTATGTAGCTGTAAATAAGCTACTTGTGTAAGAGAGTTTTTAAAATCTTAATTATTGTAGAAATTTTGCATAAGTACTCCTAAAATAGGATTAGCTGGCATTATGTTTGAAAAGTATACATGCAAGCATCATTTGCTGTTTAATAAGCAAGGTAATAACTCTCCAGTATGTTCCTAAACTAAAATTTTTAATAATTTTGCAACAGTGCAGTGTATAAGAATATGAAATAGAAAAAGTGCTTATTACTTATACCATACATTAATCTAAGAACTACTGTAAATGGACTCCCCTTCCTATACTGTAATGAAAAGAATAAATTCTAGGGTGGATTGGCGGTCTGAAGTTGTGTAAACGTGTTAGTTTCGAAACAAGAATAGCAAAATTATAGGAAAGCTACATGGTTATGATAAGGTGCAGTGATTCTTAGGTATGATTGTTCATTATCCTCTTTGCTCCCATACCCTTGAATTTCCAGTGCTGAACATCACTGTGTGCCTAAGCATGCTTTGCAGTTGAACCTAACATGTAAAAATAATTCCTATAAAATCTGCTTTTTTGCCCCAACATTTGAAGTTTTGCATATTTTATTTAAATATTGTTTCTTATAATATAAACAAAAAATCTTAATATTTAACAATTATAAAAATTTTAAAATAAATTAATGTTTAATATTAGTAATAATGACTATATTTACATATTTAACCTTTAAAAGACTGGGGAGTTTGGAAAGGTTTCACTTAAAAGGACGGGTAATCCAACTTTAGTCGCCTTTGTTAACTGTAAGATAAGAGACTAGGGAATAATGCAAAGGAATATTTTCCCATTGTTGTCCCTTTTCCCTAAACTAGGGAAACATATCATGGTGAGATTTCGTAGCTAATTGTCAAATAGTGGAATATAATATGCATATATCTGTTTGCATACACATATACTATTAGCATACATACATGTTACACATTCACATTTCTGCTGCATGTGATGTACACCTTATTTGCATATGTACTATATACTGTATGCACATGCATATCGTTATGGTTAGGTTACTTATGTAGAATTCTAGAGAGCAAGTTAATCATGTGAAACACAACTGGAAGTTTTTCTTTTGAGCTAACATTGCACTGTTGACAGAAAATGAAAGGGAGTTTATGAAACCCCATAGTTGTGAGGCATGAAGGTCATCAGACAAGTGGCAGGGGAAGGTTATTGCATAATGACTTTCTCCTCACCCTAAATCATTGGAGGGAAAGAATTTCTCTGGCCGAAATTTCGGGTACAGCCGTCATTTTGAGACTCTGCAATTTTGGCCTATATTTCAGTCACCCATCTTCTAAGTATTAAATTATTTCCATACAATAATAAAATAAAAAAAAGTTAAGAATTGAATTGTCAGTGTTTATTATATCCTATTTCCGTACTTGCATACAAAATTGTAAGCCGCTTGCACTGCATGAACTTTTCAAAATTTTGAATACATGCTGTAAGCATCACATTTTTACATTCATAAAATAAAATAATAATTTTTAAAAATCTGAAGGTTTCAAATTTTAAATAACATTCAAAAGGGTATTTTTTTTTTTTTTTTTTTTTTTTTTTTTAATGTTTTGTGTGTTACCTTTATTTACTAAATATCATGTTTTTTGCACTTAAACCATAAAATTCAGTTCAACAGCAATGTTACAAAATAATTTTAGAATGAGCATATCTTTAGAATTTCTGATACACAGTTCCGCGCACTGGAGATAAAAAGGTTTTCCCTCCTCTTGTGGAGTGTTGCCATTGCTCGCTTTTAAATCGTTGAATTTGTTAATAAAAAATTCATTAAAGTTTTACAAAATATGAAATCGATAATAAAACAAATTTGGTCTTTCAGATGCCCATATTCGCAGTAGGTTTACTTCATTCAAAATTCTATGGCTCTAGGTATTATTATTTTATCATAATGCAAGAAACATACATACACTTATGCAGGTTTTTCATTTTTTAATTTCTTCAAATATAATGCAGATCAATAATATTTGGTGGCAAGGATTTGAAAAGTGATACAGCCTTTTAAAGTTTTCAATGCAAAATTGCAAAAGAAAAACAATAGTCCTTCAGAGCCATTTTGGACTAATAATATTCATAACAACAAGGCTAACCCTCAAAAGATTTTATTAAAGTTTTGCAGCATCCCTGACATAAATGCTTATTTAAAGTTTGAAATAAGCATAAATTATGTCAGGATGCTGCAAAACTTTCCACTTCAGTATATCAGATATGGTACAGTGGGCCACCAGTGACATTTTGCTCTTGTGTATTTGATACATTCAGTACAGAGAGTAATTGATTTTAAATATGATACACGTAGAGTGAAAAGCTGTTACTGTTTATATTTGCAATGTAACCTCAAACTAACATTGCAAAAGAAGCCCCAACTCTTTCTGCAGAATCCTGCCATTATTTTGAAAGACAGTGTGCTTGAAAGCTTGGTAATGCAATCTATGCTTGACATATTTGGGAAGATTTAGGAAGTGCTCTACTATGAACTATATTCCTTGACCTTGTCCCTGTGATTAAACTTTGATTTCTGAGATGGAAGAAGCACATTATAGCACAAATGTCTGAATTTTTCCAAAAATTTGTCATTCAATAGACTGCTCTATTTGAACTTTTTTTTTTTTTTTTTTTTTTTTTTTTTTTTTTAAGTGCACTTGAGTATATTTTGACTTCCAAATCTCTGGCAGTAGATTGTACACCACACTGGTAACTATGTCAAATGACATTAAAAATGAAGTATCTCTTTTATGTCAGTTATAAATAAATAGTTGCAGATATCAAAGTTCTAATCTCTACAGATGAACAGGTAACCGCAGATTTGCATGGTATTTAATTTGTATGATTTTGGTTTAACACAGTAGAAGAAGAGTGGAAGAACTTCCATTTATACAGCTTTGAGTGCCACTTTAATATGATCAGTTCAGACAAATGTAAATATTGTATATATATAATTTATTTACTAATGGAATATTGGGTATATTATCTCCTTATACAAAGTTAGTAGAATTGTATCTTAATGAAGTAACCCAAAAGCGTTGAAATTGAATCCCGAAAATAATTTTTTTTATTATTATAAAAAGAAACTTTAATTTTAATCATGAAAAATAGGAATAGAAGCTTTTAAAATGAAAATTAATCAATAAACTAAGTAATTATCGTCATTGATCAGAAACTGGTTGACTTTTCAATGGGAACAAACCAACCCCCCGTTCAATTAACAATAATTAATAAATGCGAAGGTGTTTCGTCTTTTACTCAAGTAAGAAGTATGATGCCAAACTGGTAATGAGTTTAAGCCAAACTTGTAAGTTGAGTTTAATCCAATTGGTGAGATTAAATTAAGATGAATTAAAATGAAGGACTATATAGAATTCATTATGAATGTAGCAGTTCCATTAAGCTAGTCCAAAAAAGTTTATTGTAAGCAATTTCTATTTTTGGAAAGAAAGAAGAAAGTACCCAAATAATGAAGAATTAAGGAACTATTGCAAGTTAGGATTTTGATTTACTTTTTTTTTTATCTTATATGTTCAAAACTTTTTTTACAAAAAGCAAACAATATGGTTTCATATGTATATGTTAAGTTTATTACATTTGAATTTCTTTTCAATATGAATTGTAACTTAAATGACACATTTTTAGCTTACATGGCATTTTTGGAGAATCAACCTTTCATGTGTAAATCAAAAGTTCCCTGTAGTTTATTAACAATTAAACAGTCACTTTCACCTGGTTAATTCTTTAGTGTAAACTGAATATTAATTTTGTAACTTGTTTAATGTGCTAGTAGTTACAATAAACATTGATGCTATAAACTGAATTTTCATTTTCAAAAAATGGAATTTTTGTTGCTTTCTATGTAGTTTGAATTTAAGATGCCAGAAGCACTTTAGATTTCTCAATCTGCATAATATTAAGATTTGCCTTGTATACAGGAACTTCGCTGTCGAGAGGAAGAGTTAACAAAAGCTCTAGTTCAACAAAAAATACATGAAGAGCTTCTGAAGAAAAGAGAGCTAGAGTTGCATGAGCGAGAAATAGATTTATTAGAAAGAGAGCTTAATATCATGATTCTTCAGCAACAACAAGACCGTCCTACACCAAAGAAAAGAAAAGGCAAATTTAAAAAGAGTAGATTAAAATTACTGAAGTATGGGGGTCAGCAGATCAGCATGCCTTCAGGTAAAATTGTACATTCCATTTTTTTAATAAATGCACTTTAATTAAAGATATTTAACGAATTAGAAATCTCTAAACAAAGGCCTGATACTTTTATTGTTAGATATTTATTTTGCTCATTGTCAGATATTTTATTTAGTCGTTTTCCTTAAATTTCTTGAATGCGGAATATGTCTGCAAAGTTTTGAAAAAATTTTATCAACCAGTTGCAGTGGAGCTTTAAAAAAATGATAGCTTGTGGCAATTGTTATTAATACATCTTAACATGCATTAAAATGTCATCCAGAAACTTTATGAACATGTTAAGATACACGTATAGCATTAGTAGGAATGTGAGTGGTAAGCTAAATGGTGGATAAATTTTTTCCTTCATATCTCAACTTTGGATTTAATTTTGAAACTTACGTGCATTACAAGTTGAAAAAATATTTTATGAAAATGTGCTGTTTTATGATAAATATCAGATTTATTTTATAGAATCCTTGTCTTAACTCTCTAATTTTCATTAAATCACTTGGGGAAGAATGTGTTGGTATTACTTAAATAAGTTTTTTCATGTAATCTGTCACTTTAATCCTATAAACAGGAAATTTCTCATTTAACCTCCATTTCAACTTAATATTTCTTTGTTAAATGTATTTTTCTCTTTTTTAAAATGAGTAAACCAGAAAATACTTGAAATTTAAATTTTGGATGCAGTGAAATTTAAATAATTTTCCCTATACATTTATATTTAAATGTATGCAATTTGACACACCAGTGAAATCAAACAAATCAAAATTTTATTCCACAGCAGAATATTTTACTTCAAACATCTATGACTTTAGCTTGCAACTAATTGCTTTTGCGAGTTTTAAGTGATGTTATTGTTTAATGGATTTCTCTCTCTAAAAATATCATTTATAAACTGATAGGATGATCTTTAAAAAAAAAAAAAACATGATATAAATATCATTTATAAACTGATAGGATGGCTCAAACTCCCACCAGAATGCAAAGTGCTAAAAGAAATAATTGAAAGAAAAGTCATTATTTTTCCAGCTTCCATTACTAGAATTTTAGAGTTCCTGTTGAAGCAAGATAGCATTAGTCAACAAAATATTTTGATACATGGGGTGATATCAAAATATTTATGCTGCAAGAACATGCATAAAGTGTGCATGTTCTCGCAGCATTTTTTCTTGTGTCAACAAGATCTAACACCATCAGGAAGGCTCATCAAAATATGCATCATTAAGTATACCTGTGAAGAGTGAAACATTGAAGATCAGAATAAGAAAGAATTCAATTAGGGAAGGCATTAAATAGTTAGAGAGATACTATATTAGAAATCAACTTAAGCTAAGAAAATTGGATATAGTAGAAAGTGTATGCATTTGCTCTAGAGTATAGTTCTGCCTGCTCAAGAAATGATATTGTAAAAATTACAATACATGTATGAAATGTTAATATTGTTGAACAAAAGTTAATGAATGAAAAAGATGTCTGAAATTATAGATTACATAGTATCCAGCTCTTTATTTTGAAATATATTAATATCACATCAATCACTTGATGACCTGATGACCATTAGGAAGGCATCCTCTTTTTTCGTGAAACTGCTAACACCACCAGCCACACCTTCACCCCACTCCCGCTGAGAAAAATAAATAAGCATTCATTCGCTGACTGAGAGGAGATGAAAGCATTTGCTATGCTAAATGATTTAAAAGCAATAGACATACTTCAATCCATATGAGTATGGCAGGGATATCGCACAAAGCACGTGTCCTTTTCGATGATAAATATGCCATATAGGTGCATGACAGTGAAAAACGGACGAAGCAAAGGGTGGTGATCATGTGTCACAAGAAGAGACGAAATGACCAAGGAGAGGCAGAAGTCGCACAAAAGTTAGTGTAAGTTTGTGACCGGTACATGTGAAATGAACACAGCAAACAAGACAAAATAACATAATATACTATATGCAAAATACATATGAAGCAAATTATAAACTTACATACAAATAAATGAAGTTATATACATATGTACAAAAGCACTTAAATAAATTAAATTAGGCTGGGAAATTTGCATTTCTGGTAAGATGTACAGCATAAGGTCTTAATTTACAGTCCTCCTCTAAAGGGATATAATCGAAAATTTTAAAGTGCGATAAATGCGGGCAGTTAATCACCCTGTCAAAGTCACCCTACTGTTGATACGATGAAGATATTCTTCAACACGCTTGGTTTTCAGGTCTCTGTGTAGTGCATCATTTGAGACGAAATAGTGGGCATTTGTCATCGGTCATAAGGCTTTATTCTGTAATACTTATAGCTTGTGCAAATCCTTCTGTGTGGCTGCCACCCAGGCAGGTGAAGCGTGTGAAAATATAGGTTGAATGACCGCAGTATACAAATGTCTCTTCTTAGAAAGTTTTAATCTAGAATTTTTACCGATGAGCAGTAAGATACTCGTCAAAGCAGACATAGCTTTACTACGTGCTTTCACAACGTGGTCCTTCCATGTAAGCTTATTATTGAGAATGACTCCTAAATATGTAGCCTTACGCACAATTGGTACATCCACGTCGAATAATTTTAGAGTGACATTAAGTGGGGTCCTGGAAGTTTTTCTGTGTATTATAATCAGCTGGAATTTTTGCACATTTATGGCTATCTTCCACTTAGTGCACCAATGCTCAACTGGAGGAATGACATTTTGAAGTTTAGAGATAGCATGTTCAGCTCTGAGCGAGGTGACGGCTCACACAGTATCATCTGGCGTAGCATCCTAGAAAAGATTTATGGTCCATGTTATATTTTGGAAAGTCTGCGATGTAAAAAAGATACAGGACTGGTCCTAAGATTGACCCTTGGGCCATGCCAGCATTAAGCCACTTACAGATTTGTCACTTCCCATACTTACAAAGAATTTTCTATCCTTAATGAAAGAATAGATCAACAAAATCAGATCTCTCACGAGGTCGATGGAAATAAGCTTCAAAATGAGCCCCTGATGCCAGACGTGGTCGAACACTTTTGTCACGTCTAGCATCTGCAGGGCAGCACCAGTAAACTTCACCAGTTGAATTATCTGTTTGGTGGTAGACAAACCTCTCCTGAACCCAAACTGCTTGGGAGGGAGCCTAGTCATGTAGGGTTCCAGTTTATTGAGAATCACTCTTTAAAAAATTTTCCTGAGTCCTTGGAGTAAACTGATAGAATGATACCCATCACGACGAGTGATATCCTTACCAGGCTTGGTCAGTAAGATTATTTTTGCAGTCTTCCACTTGGTTAGTAATTTATTATTCATAAGACAGGCATTTAAAATACCTGTGTATTTAGAAATAATATTAATAGGTAAATTTTTGATGGCAAGATTTGTAATAGTGTCATAGCCGGGTGCTTTTCTATAGTGTGCTATAGTTACCACTATAGATAGGTATATTACATTGTGGCTTGCGTCGAAGATTTCTAGCAAAAGTCCAGAACATATTATCGGGTTTATTAAAACTCAGCATCTTCTTGTTCCATGTATTGTCGCGGTGAGTCTGTATAATCTTTTTAATTTTTCGATTCAGTTTATTTAGTTCCTTCCTAATGCGAGTGACCCAGGAAATGTGATATCTTTTCTGAAGTCTATTTCTATCTTTGATCAATTCACGGATAGAGTGTGGTAATAAATCCAAGTGTTGATCAGCAGGGATATTCTTAGTGGCTAAGTTATATGCACTAAGTATAGTGCATATATCAACGAGTCAATAGCATTATCGATATCCCTAATATTTTTTAGACTATTAAAGCATAGACCATTAACCTACAGGAGATCACTGTAAATGTTCCAATCTGTGCATTATTTATATTTCTCATTGATACATTGATTTGTACCAAGCTTGCCTATGACTGGAAGATAATTCATCTCAACTTTAACATCAAGATACATTGGAATAGATGTAGTGGTGAGGAGAATGTCTCCTCTTCTGGGATTCTCCGGAACATAACTAAATTCAAATGGGACATTGAAGTAAATACGTAGCGTATTCGGAAACTAAGTACCGTTTCATTCTAGCGCTGTGGTAGGCATCCCGCGCATGCGCACTAGTCTTTCTTGTTCACTGACTTTCAATTGTCGCCATTTTGGTTGCTCTATGTTGTGTTTTCAGTTTGCTGTGCACATTCAAAATGTTTAAGACAATTAGTTCTCCCGCTGACTGGGAGATTCGTGCCGTGATTAAATTTTTGAACGCGAGGAATGTTAAACCCGGACGAAATTTATCGTCAAGTGACAGAAGTTTACGGTGAATACACGATAAGTGATGGAATGGTGAGAAAGTGGGTAAGAATGTTTAATGCAGGTCGAACAAATGTCCACGCCGAGGCTCGGACTTCTGTTGTCACCGATGATTTGGTAAGGAAAGTTGATGAAGCAATTCATGAGAACAGATGCTTCACAATGACAACTCTTTCAGAGGCTTTTCCACAAATTTCACGTACTGTTTTGTTCAAAATTGTGTCTGACCGCTTGAATTATTGCAAACTGTGTTCCCGATGGGTTCCAAAAATGCTCACTGATGTTCACAAAACAAAGCGACTTGGTAGTGCCCTGACATTTCTCACATGGTACAGTGATGAGGGAGAAAACTTTTTAATCCAAATTGTGAGAGGTGATGAAACTTGGGTGTGTCATTTCACACCAGAATCGAAACAACAATCCATGGAGTGGAGACACACTCATTCTCCAAAAAAACAAAAGTTCAAAGTGACAATGTCAGCACAAAAAATCATGTGCACTGTCTTCTGGGATAGGAAAAGCATTTTGCTGACTGAATTTCTTCCCAGAGGTGAAACCATTAATGCGGCACGATATTGTGAAACTTTAACAAAACTAAGGTGTGCCATTTAAAACAAACGATGAGAAATGCTCAGTAAAGGAATTGTGTTGCTCCATGACAATGCTCGGCCCCATACTGCTGGAGTCACTCAATCGTTAATTCGACAGTTTCATTGGGAGCAGTTCGATCACCCGCCGTACAGCACGGACTTGGCGCCGTCCGACTATCACTTGTTCCTGCACATGAAGCGCGAGCTTGGTGGCAAGCACTTTGGATCTGACGATGACACGAAAAATGCTGTGGAGTCGTGGTTATCGAAACTGGCGGGAAGTTTCTTTGACGATGGTATACAAAAACTGGTCACCCGCTATGACAAGTGTTTGATCATTGGCGGAAACTATGTTGAAAAATAGTTTAAGACGTATTTTCGTGTAAAAATAAAATTGGATTCGAAAAAATTGTTTTACTTTCCCCCCCCCAAAAAAAACGGTACTTAGTTTCCGAATACGCCTCGTAGAATGGTTATTGATGAATTTCAGAAGGTTCTCACCATTACTATTCATCCTACGACAACCCCACTTGGTATTCTTTGCGTTTAAGTTGCCTGCTAGTGTTACATTTTTATCATTTGGAAGCAGTTCAGCTAAAAAGCTGTCATCCATTGAATTTTGAGGTGGGTTGTAAAACATGGTAAAATACACCACACCATACAATGTCAATAAAACAGAAACAGTGAGCACTTCGAGTCCATCTGTAGGCATATGTAGGCAGTTTGGTGCATGTAATATAATTTGAAAAACAGCATGGAAAGCTATTAACAGATCATTTTAGCCTTGCACATGTTCTAAGGTTAGATTTTTGTGAGGTATAGCAAACTGAAAATGCCTGAAAAACAGACAGAATTTTATTAGAGGAATATATGTGACATACAACCAGTCAGAGGGTGATAGCCTCATTACAATTTTTTTTCAAAACTGGAATTCCTGTGAGAGCTTCTGACATTTAATAGAAAAGATCAAGTAATGTTGAAAATCCAGCAAATGAGATAGAAAAGGTGAAGAAACAAATTCATTAATCAGCTGAAGAGAAGAAAATCACTACTTTATTCTCTTTGCATGATAATCTTAAGAAAATTCTATTGCTTCCAAGTCGTACTTTAAGCTTGTATAATTGAGATGTTGCTTTTCTGTTCAAGTTCATCAAACATTGTGAAAGGATCTTGTAGTTTTGAAGCAGGGAAGATTAATCTTCCCTGCTTCAAAACATGTATTTTCATGTAAAAAGAGTTATCTTTTCTTGAGATTGTGCCTTTCATCACAGTCTTCCCACGTGAGTCAAAAGGCAATCTCTCTAAAAGACCCTTCATCCTTTCACCCTTGCAGAAGCAGATATGAAGGAATTTTGAGCATACATCAAAATTCAGAAAGTGGTCTTTTTATACACCAAGTAAAAATGAATTTTTAGTTTTTAGGAAAAGAGCAGATATGTGACAGGTGCTTTTGTATGTACTTGACATATCATGATAGATTATGACTATGTTCAAAGGCTTATAAATACTAACATTGGAATTGGATAAGGGTCTTTGTTTTTCTGTAAGACTGGATATTTACACTTAAATGCATGAGCATCTTCGTTTTGTATATAACTAGTTTGCAACCTCCAATGAAAATACCAGAAGTTTTTCTTCAATGGAATTTAGAGCCTTAACAATATTTCATTTTGGCGATTGTGATGTTAAATTGCATAATGGTATGGAAGCTACATTTTATTTCAATAAAGGCTGTGGTCTTCTCAAAACAGCTTTGATCAGTGTCCATCTTCCTCAGAAAAAATGCTGAAAGAATATAACTAGACAATAAACTTAAATGATAACTAAGTTGACGTTCCTGAATATAAAAATGAAAGTCAAAATTTTATAACACATATCATTTTTATGTCACAAGATTGAAATATTCTGCTGGCCATTAAAATTGCAACATCTGGAAGGAATAATGTGACAAACGTCAAAATCACATGAAAGAAAGAAGTTGGGATATGCAAATGATTAGTATTTCTGCGCATTTAGACGATGCAGGAGGGAGAAACGACATTTGAAGAATTGCATAAAAGAAAAGTTGTTTATTGGATTTATGTTATGCCTCGAACAAGAAGTGCTTACCAGCAAGTTTCGAAATTCGATAAAGACAGGATGGTTGCCTATTGAAAGTGTAAATTATCATTCCGTGATATCACTGGTCGCACGACATCCAATCACTATCATGCAAATATGGATTCAATGGATTCATACTGAACAGCATGCAGGATCTCAATGTTCTCCCATGACTAACACCAGAGAGAACAAGACATATTGTGAGGTGCAAAACCATATGACCACATCACGGACCATTAATCAGGAAATGGGCATCTTTCAAGCACGCCCAGTATCAGCTCCTAAGGTGCGTCGACGTCTGCATCAGCAGGATGACTTCGGCTTCCTTTGACAATGCAGCATAGAGAGAGATGGCGATTTTGATGCACTAAATAACAAAGCTGGGTACAGGAGTGGTACGATGTTGCCTTTTCAAACGAGTCCCAGTTCTGTGTACAATATTCTGATGGCCGTATACGTGTCTGGAGTGTCCGAGGAGACAGCACTTCGCCTGCTTGCATTTGATATTGGCATAGATGCCCTACACCTGGTGTGATGGTTTAGGCAGCTAGTGAGATACACGACACATCTCTAGTTCGGATTGACAGTGATGAATACATATGGGTACATTTCTGACATCTTACATCCAGTAGTTGTGCCCTAAAACTTCGAGGCCTCCAAATGCCATGTTCCAACAAGATAATGCAAGACCATATGTTGCATGTCATGTTTTGATCTTCCTGGATACACAGGATATTCAATTGCTGCCCAGGCCTGCACACTTTCCAGATCTGTCACCCATTGAAAACATCTGGTCATGGGTTTCTAAGAGACTCCCCTGCCATATTTCTCCAGCTAATATGGTTTATAAAGTGTGGCACAGACTTGAAGCAGCATGGAACGTGTTGCCCATTTCTATCATCCAAGCCCAGTTTGACTCCATGCCTAACCAGGTAAGGGCTGTTTTAGCTGCCAGGGGTGGAAGCAGTTTCTACTAATTTCATATCCTTGTAAACCCCCAAGCTGCTTACAAATTTAATCATTTTGTCTTCATGCCATACTATTTATGTACAGTAAATATCTTTTTTGTATTTGCTTTCTTTCAATGTGTTGCAATTTTAATGGCCAGCAGTGTACTTTTCTTTTGAAATATCATCATGCTACTTGTTTCTGCCATATTTCATTAAAAATTTTTTTTAGTGTGATGGACTGCACAATCTTGCAATTACCTAATGACAAAGAGGCTACCATAAGATTCTTTCAGGACAAAGGAATACTTCATAGCAATTGACTTCAAAATGAATTCAAAGGAATAGTTCTCAAAATCATTCAATGAATTAAACTTTGGACTCAAACAAAGCTCCTATATGGCATTGTTACGTACGTTCTTGCTGTGAAAAAAGAGGTCTTAGAACGAAAACATGGTCTGAAGGCTCGTGTTATTCTTTCCTCAGTGTCGTTCGTTTTATCTATCTTTGTGATGTTAGGAATAGATGCCGATTGATTTTTCTGAACTTTAATTAGAATTCAAACATAATACAACAGTAAAATTGGAAAAACTACTTGAGGGAGGTATGTGATTTGATGTCTCATAAAAAATAAAATCAGTGGAGACGACAAAATTATAACAATAGACGAAAGTTTTTTCAGGAAAAGAAAAAAAAAAAAGAAAAAAAACTTTAGATGTGTTCTTTGGGAAAATGGCATGCAGTGCACAACCTGTCTAGCAATTGTGGGGCAGTGCTAAATGAAGTAATAAATGTCAGCGGGGCACTCTTCGCCAAGAATTTATGTGTTGTCAGTTATACTCAAAAATTAAAAATTTTTCTGTGGTATTGAATGATATTTATAATTTTATGTTACCTGTTTAGATTGAATTTAGTTTTGTTATTTTTTATTTATGTGTAGAATTTTCTTTATGCCACTTGTTTAGATTAAATTTCGCTTTGTTTTGTTACTCTTTGTGTGTAGAATATTCTACATTAAAAAATTAAAACAAAAAATTTACTCTCTTTAAGAATTATGAAATTAAAAAAATTTACTTTTTACAGAACTAATTTTTTCTAGTCTTTTGAACTCTGTTATTATTTCATAATTTTATACTTGGCCGCAATTAGTTGCAAAGAAAAAGGAAAAAAGTGGCACATTTTTAAATGACGCCGCTCTAACGGAATTGTACCGAGGTTTCTTAAAACATATTGACAAACAAACTTCTTTTGTTTGTTAACTGCACACTTAGATTGTATATTTTTAAGGAGAGGTTAACCTGAAAGCATTATAATGTGCTTTCAGAGTAAAGTGGATGAAAGTTATTTTTCTGTACAAAAAATTTCAAATTTTTTTATATGAACTTTGCAGTTGCATTGCATTATAATTAAAACAAATTGATGCATTCTGTATGGTGGGTTTCATCAACTTAAAGATTCACCTGTAGACATGAAATATTTGTTATTGTTACTTAAATCTGTTTGTATATGTGTATGTTATTTCATTTATAGTATATGAAATATATACTTTTTGGTAGATTTTCGACACAATATAACAGTGCAACAAAGCCCTACTGTCCGAGGAAATATTAAAGGCTTACATAATCCTTCTAGTCCTGACAGCCCACCTTCTTCACCTAATCTACCTCGTCTTCGAGCTTATGCTTGTGAGTCTCTTTTTTTATTTTAATCTTTATTAAAAATTTTGTGCAATCATTATATATGTTTTTAAAATTATGTGAACTTTGTTAAACATAAGTGATGTTAAATTTTCTTATTTGTTTTAACCGGAAAAAAATGTAAATTTGGTTATGTTTATAGATATTAAATTTAGTTAATTTTTATAGGTATTTTGAACTTATTTAAATATAGTTTACCCCAGTCCAGATGAATTTGCACAACTGAGAATATGCAAGGCGTCCATTAATGTTTACCCCGTATACAAAACACGACAACTCATGATTGTGTTCAGATAATTAAACATGCATTGAACCTCAAATGCATAAACTCTCAAGGTTTATAATTATATAGAAAAAATTAATAAACTTCCTGATGTGCATCACCTGATAGCATGCAAAATATTCAACTATTTCACCACACATATTTTTCAACATTTCTGGCATCGTGTGAATGACGTCTGATATAATGCCGTAAATTCGCAACATAAAGAACTAGCGTGTGATACACAATATTTTAACATACCTCCAATGAGAGAAATCAAGGGGTTATGTTAGGAGAACTGGGGGAAATAGACCCCTCTGGCCAATCCACCTTGTAAAGATAAGGAATGTTCATGCACATGCAAGCTTAGACTTTTCATGTGATTCTGGGGGGGTGGCAAAATTCCAGGATGCTTCTTCCAGCCAAGCCTTCTCTTTAGGGAACTCAGAAACAAATCAACACATCTAGTGTAATGTTACAAGATCAGATGCCCACATTCCATTCTGTTGCAGGCATAAAAAGAGGCTCAACACCAAGCAATAGAGAATTTTCAGTTCTTGAGAATTCATTCATGCTGGCAACGAAAACAGATTTATTCCTGAAGCATGTGATATATTCGAAGCTAAGAAAAAGAAAGGAGGTTATCACGGGGAAATGAATACAGAATATTATGAAAATTTGTTTGAAAAAAAAAATACTACCTAACCTGCAACCAAATAGTGTAATTATGTTGGATAGTATGTCTTATCACAGCTTTTTGTGTGAAAACATTCCTTCTTCAAATACAAGGAAAGGAGACGACATTCAGCTTTGTTGACAGAAAAAATATTCCTTGGGAAGCTGATATGTTGAAAGCAAAACTTTTAGTTCTCGTTTCTAAGCAATTTCTAAATTTGCATTGCATTGTATCGATGCTGTATCCAGACATATTGAACATAAGGAACTAGCGTGTGGTACACAATATTTTAACATACCTCCAATGAGATATATCAAGGGGTTATGTTAGGAGAACTGGGGGGAAATAGACCCCTCTGGCCTATCCACCTTGTAAAGATAAGGAATTTTTCACTATACCATTATACGAACTGAACTCGTATGGAGTATCCGATAACAGAATTTTTAAAAAGGACACAAAATTTTAAAGAAGAGTAAATTGTTTGAGAAAGGGATTGATTTGGTGACTCCTGTGTATTAATGCATGAAGCATGTAATAGAGGAAAATGGGGGAAATTGCATTGTCTGGTAGGGGAACACCGTTGAGTGCATGAAGTTTAATACTGATGAGTCGGATAGCTCAGATTCTTCAAATGATAATTTTAGTGAGATTGAATACCTCCGTTAAAAAAACAGCCCTTTTCAGGGCCGCAAAATAAAAATGCAAGGGCCGTTTTCGAGGGCACAAATTAAAAGAAAAGGTACAACTATAAACAGTTATAAATAACATTATATACAAGCTAGCATCCCTTGAAAAATATAATATAAAAGTGTATGTCTATACGCACTGATATACAAATTACACAACCTGGGTTTTCCAAGTTACACACGAACATAATTAAATTCTACCTAACTGGCAGACACTTTGTTGTTCACGTTTTAAATACACTTTCTGCACACAGGGCAATCCTTGTAGGCATTCCCAAGGGGTCTCTGCATGGACCCACATCATTCAATATTTACGTGAATGACATCTCCACTACACAAAACTCGCAATGTATGCTGACGACACTGCAATCCTCTCACAAAGTGCATTTGTTAGCCCAGCAATACAATGATTATAAGACTACATAAACATACTTGAGACTTGGCTGACAAGATGGAAGATCAAAATTAATGTGCAAGTAAATTAAAATGCAAGCAATCCTAGTTACCAAGAAAAATAAATTCAATAAAAACCTGCAACTTTAGTTGCAGATGTTGTCCCATGGGCCAAGCAAGTCCTTTATCTTGGGGTGATCCTCAGTAAAACTCTTTCATAGAACCCACACATAACATCTATCCTTAGAAAGTTTCGAATTAGTAAAATCACACTTCACCCCTTAATTTCTCAAAACAGTGTACTTTCAATAGACAAGAAAATTGCTTATTTATAAAACCATATTGCATCTCTTACTATGTTATGCCTGCCCGGTATGGGCATATTCATGCAAATCTTATAGGAAAAAATTGCAACAGGCACAAAATTGTGTCCTAAGACAGATAACCAACTCACCTTGGGTGCGGTTCATAATCAAAAGTTACATGAAGAATTATGTACAGAACAACTGAAATATTTTTACTGCTGGCTGGCCCAGAAATTTTATGCTAATCTTGTAAACATCAACAACCTGGTTATAAGGGTGTATGATTACGATATTGTGTGACTAATTAAGATTCTGTTTTGTTAATTTTAAAAGTGCATCAAGAGACTCACATTATATGCCTTATTACTTGTGTACATATTATTGTCTTTAAATAGTAGGTTAAAGCCAGCTCCCCCTCCTCAGCTTTTTTAAATGGCATTTCAGGTCTCTGATTTTTCGCACACTTTAGTCTGTTAGATACATCATTTAATTTCTTTCTTAGTGTTGAGATAATTCTTGCCTTAATATGTTTAGCAAAATACTTTAAAAAAAAAAAAAATCTGAATGTTTTCGGATTTTAAATTACGTCGAAAGGGGCATTTTTTTAACATTTTTGGTTGTTACCTTTATTTATTAAATATCATGTTCTTCGCACTTAAACCATAAAATTAAGTTCAACAGCAATATCATAAAATAATTTTTAAATGAGTGTATCTTTAGAATTTCCGATACACGAACTTTTTATCTCCGCACACACAAGATAAAAAGTTTCCCCATAGAGTGTTGCCATTGCTCGTTTTTAAATCGTTGAGTTTGTTAATCAAAAATTCGTTAAAATTTTATACAATATGAAATAGAAAATAAAACAAATTCCAGATGCCCACATTTGGGTGGAAATGTACATTATTCAAAATTGGATGGCTCTAGGTACTGTTATTTTATCACAATTTGAAAAACATACATACATTTATGCAGATTCTTCATTATTTAATTTCTTGAAATATAATACAGGGCGATAATATTTTGTAGCAACAGTTTGAAAAGTGAATCGGACATTTATAGTGAATCAAGGCAAAATGCCAAAACAAAAATAATAGTCCTTCAGCGCAAATTGCCCCTTTAGACTAAAAAAAAAAAATGCTCTGTAAATATGCACATAGTTTGTTAATCTTATGGTAGTTATTTCTTGATATCATTTGAAATGACTTACTTATTCGACAATAGGTAGGGTGTCTGACCCAGGCCTCCTGGTGCTGCACCACTAGTTCTCCAGTGCAAATTTTAGTTTGGGTGCCACTGTAGAGACATTAGGTATTTTTTTTTTTTTTTTTTTTTTTCCTCCAAAAGCAGGAGATGTGAAAAATGAGGAATGTCCTCGCCGGGACTCAAACCACTGACCTCTCGATTATGTGCTGAGTGTGCTGGTCATTACACCACAAAGGCATCCTAAGAAGGTGGGAGAAATACTTTATACCCTTATAAAAACTTCATTGCTGCAAAAGTAGTTATCTTTAAAAGTAATTCCAGTTTCTACCATATTATTTTAATTACATAAACTGCCACAATATAAATGTCACAAATTGATGATAACGTAGCTAAGTGAAGAACTTGTATTTATAACCTAAGTTGAATATATTATTTTAATTGTACTTTTGTGAATATTTTCAGTACAAACAGATGGTTTGAAAGGCAAAACATGGGGACCAAGTACAGTGCATCAAAAAGAACGTTGCCATTCTAGACAAATGCTATTAATTGATGGCAATAAAAGATGGTCAAAAAGTGCACCAAATCTTGAAAAACCACCAATTCCTCTTTCTGTGCATGGAATTCATAATGCTGTAGCATTAACAGACAGTGGTGAGTACATTAAGCTGTTAATTTTTTAAGTGCTAACTTTAACCTGACCTGTTTTGCTGGTCATTGTATTCACTTTGCATTCTACTGTCAAGTGGAGATGTCCGTGTGTGAGTGCAAACTTTAGTCCAAAAAAAAGATGAGATATGTAATAAAAAGTTGTAATCTTTTACAATAGTTATAAAGCAAAATGTAACCTTTCTTTGAATTATTTTAATAAAACACATTAATTTTTGTTAAAATGTTATATTCATTTCCTAAAATCTTCGATTGACAAAAAATCAATGTCACTTGTAGGAGATTCATAGTCTCACAATCAGTACACAAGAAATGGTCTTAATGTAGCATAAGTCTGAATGCTAAGGAGAAACCAGAATGCTGTTAAATCTGTTAATAAGTGTGATAAAACTGAAAATATATATATATGTGTGAGATTTAAAATATATAAATCAAAATTATAATTTAAACTAACGGTAAAGCTTTAATTCTCCCTCTCTGTTCTAAAATTGTAATAACTTCTTGGGATTGCATCATTTCTAGATCATTCCATTTTACATGGCCTGTGCAGCGCTGATGACGTAATATTTGGAAACTGAAACTTTTTAACTCAAACCAAAACTTTTCTCTTTGTGTGCTTCCATCTTGCACAACTACTCACTTCAGCTTTTGCCTCAACAATATCAAAAATGTAAATGTTCTTGAATAGGCACAACTATAGTGCCACGTGAACTGTGGCCACAAACGTCTACTGGAAAATAAAAATGGAATTAAAACTGCCTCGACTGCTAAGTTCCTTAGATATTACAAACTCAACAAATTGGCCTACTATGCAATCGGAATTTTTCCTCTTCAATATGGATCTATGTACACATCAACACTGCTCCATTTTCACTTGTGCTTTTATGACATATATATATTAGAAGATTAAAAAAAGTGTTGAAAATTAGAGCTTCCCCTCCCCCCAAAAAAATCATGTAGAAGTATTTATTATAATGCAAGTGAAGGAGTTTTTTTTCACTTACGGAAGATGATACAGTTAAATTGTTATTCATGATTTCCCAGCTGATTTCTTTATTGATCACTACACATAGGAAATCCCACATATCTAGAAATAGAGAGGATCCTTCAGTTTTAAAAATACAGGGAAATCCCTTGTACTAGAACTTGTTGTATTGTTGTAAAAGGGTGCTGACAGTAGCCAGGATAGCAACTACTTGTCGATGTGTGTCTTTTATAAATTGATTGAAAGTTTTTTATTTAAATTTTTGCTTATTATTAAACAGTATTGATTTATTATAACATCACATTGCACATACTCTTCCATAAGAACATCTACAGGACCATAATGTAAATTGTAAGGAAATCAAATCAGGATAACAGGCATTTATTTTTCAGTGATTATAGTCGTAGATATCATGTGTCAACTGCACTGATATCTGTGCTGATGGAATGAAGGCAGGTGGGTAGCATTAATGGGGCCATACAACTTCTTAAAAATATTGCCATAAACTGTTTAACCCTCTGAGCACCATGACCGCCTTTATTCGGTCATCAGAAGTTTTTTCCTTGGCATATATTAACTTATAATTTAAGATATTTTGCTTTCTTACTTTCTTTAATAATGTAAATATCTTAATTAATGCAAGTTTATGAAAATAGAGACTAAAATAAATAATTATACAAACTCAATTAATAAATGCTGTTTAAATACTAGTCTTCATGACACATTTAAAATCCTGTACCACTCAGAGGATTAAATAACCACTGTATGATGCATAGGCAGGCACTTGCAAAAAAATATATCTCCTGAGATATCAAAATGCTTTTAATTGAGGCCAAGTCATTAACTTCATAAAATCTTGCTACTAGATAATTATTTGTTCAAAATACTGTGCTAGGACATATGGACATACATCTCTTCTTTTAAATATTGAAGTCGAGGAAAGATACTTTTTACTTTTAAGTACATACTTTTAAGCTAAGCGATAAGGTGCATGCTTTCTCTTGGAACACAGTTCAAATTGAGAGCTTGATTATTTGATAGAAATTGGCTGCTTGAAATTGCTTATTGAAGCAAAACTTTTGCAAAGATCAATGAAAATCTCATTAAAATTTAAAGGATTAACTTCAGGACAAACAAGTGTATGTATTTACTACTCATGGTAAATTCTTGCTTTCAGAAAGAAGAATTCGGGACAATTTGTATGTGCTCCAATGACTTCCCAATAGTAAGAGATATTTATTAAAATTATTCAGCACTTGAAAGCTTTGAGAAACTTGCAATCAGTATTTTCTAGATGAACAGCAGATTAAATATCAAAATGAATTGTGGATTAAAATCTATTTATTACCAATGCACAACTTTCGACCATGTCAGCAGAAGAATATGGAACTTTTATTTAAATTGCATCTGATTCATCCCTGCAAGGAAAATATAAATTAATGCTGTTTGTGAAATTCTGGTGCAGTTTAAAAGACAGATATCTTCAGTTGCCACAAAAGACCATGTTGGCACTTTTACAATTTGCAATTCATGTATGTGTGAAACAGAGTTCTCAGCTTGTGTATTTGACAATAATAAATACTGCAATAAACATGATGCCGAACAACGAATATAACTTTCATTCAAAAAAACCTAACATCAATTATATCTGTGATAATAAAAGGCAGTACTACTCATCTCATTAGAATTTAAATGACCTATTTAAATAGGTTATTTTAAGAGCTTTTTGCATTAATTTTGAACTTAGATTAATTTTGAACTTTGGTTTTGAAGAAAATAAATATTATTTAAAATAATTGTCATTTTTGTGGCAAATAAACTGTTTATAAAATGTTGCATTAAAACCATACTAATGAAGCAAACAAAAGGTTTTATAATAAATGAGGACAATAAAAAGGGTTCCACTTATCAAAAAGATTAAGAAATGCTGGTATACAGCATGAAAACCAATTCTAGTATCAGTGTGCCATCACTTCCCAAAGGGAAACAGAAAGCTATTAATGTAAATGATTCTTGAGAAAAATATGCAGATTCTATATTTTCTAATATTAAGTCTGAATATTGAAAAGAAATCTGTAATAGCAGCTGCCTGAAAATACAAGACAGTACAGTATGGCAAAATGGTTAAAAAGTGACACAAATTCACCATTAAATATACACTAAATTCTTGGTGGTCTGTAACATAATCTCATAATCCATTACTGGTAATTAAGGTTATTTGAATGTGGCAAAGCATACAACCTGCTCGAGCAGAGGGATACTTTTTTCAAGGACGTTTTAAGAGAAATTGGCTCATATTTACATTACACATTGGACTGTTATTTAAAGAAGAGGGCAAAAGAAGTAGTCATATTTATGGCAAACCCATCTTTAAAGCCAGTGCATATTTCTGTTACCATTTCAAACATCACAATAAACAATATCATGAAAGACCATGATTCTTCGCCAGGTGGGATGTTTCTATGAAAATACTACTGTGAGATCACAGCATTGAAGTTCATATGAAAATTTATGGACTGTATTGCTGCCAGTGCAGTTGACAACCATAGGAGAAGCCATGTTTGTTCCTTTTTTTTTAATTGATGTAATTACAAGACAATATAGTGGACAATAGGAATAACTTCTACATTATTATGAATTGTTTGGTAGAAAAGGTGTTTATGTCAATAATTGTAATTGAGGAAAGATTTTGCATATGGAGAAAAACAGTACTAGAGGAAAAAAGCATTTATGTCCAATTTGCTTTTATCAGGCTTATTCATGTTTATTCTTATCTCTTGTAATGACATCCGGTTGTTTTCATCCATCAGTTCTTCATTAGTACTTGTGAACATGGAAATTGAAAATTCCAGAACAGGCTCTGATTCAGTGGCCGAGTTTTCTGCCAAGAAAAGAAAGAAAACAATGAGAATCCATAATGTCGTGAAAGTTTTAAGAGCAACCACATGTGAGTCAGAACTTGACTGTAAGTGCAAACTGTTTCATTATTTTTCTTTCATTTGTGATATGAAAAACAATGAGTTCTCTTTTTAGTGAACTTGAAAATAACACCTAAAATCATTATCTTGCCGGTCTTATAATGCTTTTGCCTGTAATGCACTGATGTTTTTGTTTAGGAAATGAGACAGGCAATATAATGATGCATACGTTTATATAAACACCTTTGCTTCATTCCATGTCATTGAAAAAAAAAAAAAAAAAAAGGTACCAAAAATAACAGAAGCTTTGGCAATTGATAGGAAGATTGCAGAGGAAAACATACAAACCAAAAACATGCAGTTCTTAAGGAAACAATTTCTAAAATAATAGAGTTTATCAGCTTCTTTAAGAGAAGAAAATTTCATTATTCTGTAAAAAAGAGTAAGAAAATTACATAAGATCACAAAATTACATAACATGTACAAAACAAACAATCCAGTGTCATATGATAAACTCAGAGATATTTTTAAGTTCGATATCAGAATCAGTTACCAAAGTAAGGACACTTGTAGTCTTTGTGATACATTAAAAGCAGAAATTTATATGCTTACTGAAAAAGACTAGAAATCTTGCTGAAGAACAAGAAAAAGCAAAACTGATTTAAAACCTAAAAAATAAAATGGTGTAAAAAGAACTTTATTTGAAACAGCTACTTACTACAGTAAAGAAGATTTATATTCTGAAGATTAACAGAAGAAACCGGGAAAAAGAATTAGTCACTTTTGGGGGGGGAACTTGAAAATTCACTTCTCTCCTCTTTTGTATGTATGTATATATATTTTAAATAAAGGTCGAAAGCTTGTTACAGATCTTTTGCATGATTTTATAACAACATTTTCTTTATGATTGAAGTTGCACAGACTAAAAATTCATTTTTCTCAAAATTTCTATCAATGGACATTAATAGTTTTTTCCCTGGGTATTCTGTTGATATCAACATAGCATTTCAATATCATCAAAACTGATTTGAACTCATATCAAACAGGATGTGGTCACTAATTTGGGAAAGACAACTGAAGACACATTTTTATGCCTATCAGGATAAATTGCATCAAAAAATGCTCATCATTTGTTGTGAATTTGATGTGTTTTTAAAACATTGCATTGCAACAAGTCCCCAAATATAGGACTTGACTGCAATATGAGTGTTAAGCTACCTTCAGATCTTCTGTTGTTCTAGTTTTGGATGCATAAGATATTCAGGGTTGATTGCAGAGCTAATGCCACCAAGGCCACACCAGGCAGAAGAATTTAGTAGCCACAGAATTTGCAATGGGTGGCAAAGAGCTTAATGCCAACCCTGAGGGTAATGGAACCAGAAATAACAACAAATTTCCTTTTATTACAAGACTCATGGTCTGACAAAACTAATAAATCCCTTTTTTAAAAAAAGTATATTTTCAGTTAATGATTATACTACCTAAGAGCACAAAATACTGCTTAGTTTCTTACTTTAAAATAGGCACTTCATGATCTTTCTGACCCTCTCTCATTTGCAGTCATAACATGTGTCATCATCGCCATAGAACAATTGCACCAACTGATTTGAGACTGTAGTCCAAGTCGGCCTTCATTTAAGTGCTTTTCACGAAGAAAAACAAAATGTACTGAATTGGAACAGGAAATAAATAATAATTGGACTTGACCATCTGCCATAGCTGTAGTTACCATGGTTACGGTGAGAGCTGAGCAGGGAAAAAAATTACCCTGTGCCTTTCTGAAGCAAAATGACTGCAAAATGCCACACATCATACTTGTCTTTTTATTTGCATGTTTGTCCATTTCTAAAGTTTAATGGCAATTGCTATTGGAAGATCTAATATCTTCTCTGGTAAGACTTTTTTTTTTTTTTTTTTTTTTTTTTTTTTTTTTTTTTGTGTGTGTGTGTGTGTGTGTGTCTGTGTTAGTTAGATGAAAATATGTAAATGAATTGACCAGAAGCTTAAGTTAATATGGCACAGAAAGAACAATTGATTAGTAAATTGAAATGTGTGAATTCTTATCTCATAAAATAAGGATTCAGTTAATTACAGTATAACTCCAGTTATCTGGACTACAGTTATAACTACAATACTTCAATTATGTGTTGTAAGTATATATTCTTATTCTGTTTTAGCTGTTGATGTTAATTACAGTGAAGAATTTAACAGGTTAAATTGTCATTCAGAATGCTTTGTAATTTTAGCAAATTAGAGGATTTGACCATTTAATAGCTGAAGTTGCCATATGTTTTGAGGGGGGTAAGAAATGGCTTTGAAATGCCTGTTCTTAAGTAACAGATTAGGAGCCGGAGATTTTACAAGCTTTTATATCTCTGCCCAGATCTAACAAAATAATGATCTGGTTGAAATTTTAGGTTTCCTCCCTAGCATTCTTGAAAGGAAAACTACTTCAGTATAATATTTCAACATTTTTCACACACACACTAGGACATAGACATCTGACATGTTCATAACAATTTACTAACACATTATTTCTAGCTTTCCAGTTTCATATTTGTATTAAAAGCCTTGTGTCTGCATTATAAAAAGACAACCTCTACTTCTTATCACAACTGTTATTTGTTTTTGTTAACATGTTAGATCTCAAGGACCCTGTACTTCAAAATCTAGACTGTCTCAATTAATTTAATTTCAAAGGAAAGAGCTTTTGCATCATTATATTTTGTTTTTTAGCATTTGTAATTTTATATATTTGCAGTTTTCAAATAATTGTTTCATTATTTTAATCTAGCTCTTGAAAATGAATCATCTAGTAATTCTAGATCACACAGTCTCCATAACGGAAATGGTGAAATTTCAGGAGTAACAAAACGATCTTCACTACCTCGAAGATTTGTAGGTTCGATACTTGGAAACATGAGTGCCATTCTAGCATCTGTTGCAGCAGGTTTTGATATAAGGACTGCTAAATATTCCACTTTGCATCCACGTTTGCCATCAACATGGCCAGATGATGTTGAGGATGATGAAAAGTGGTGGCCAAAAGAGACAGGTAAGAATTTATTTTTGTGTTTATACCTTCAGAATTAATGGTATTGTAAAATGCCTTTTGTATGCATCTGTAAGTACATAAAACTCATTTTAATATAATAAGAGATTGGTAATGCTTGATTGAAAGGATACCTGTTCCTTGAACAAAGAATATATCAAAATCAGTTTGTAGAGTTTTGAAATTTGGCAACACATTAAAGTTGTTACTTTTTGCAAAACTGGCAACACAATCATTTTTAGATATTTTGTTCTAACTTGAGAGTTTTTAAATGAGGCAGGTTTAGATTATTTATATTGACTTCTGTTATTTTAAAATATGTAATTTTGCTGTATTCATATAATTCCTGCAGTAATTGAGCTTTGTTTATTTACTGATGAAAATGAATGTTTGTTAGAATATGCATTGGTAGATACTTGATCCTAATGTTTTAGGAAAACATGACTCTAGGAATTTAGTATCCCTATAAACAAAACTCCATATTATGCAGCTCCATTTTCATAATCAGAAAGTATTTCTTCTGATTATGAAAATTTTGTTTAGAGTTTGTTTGAATCAGTGAATCAAGAAACTGAATTAGATGAATAATTTTGATCTCAATGGAAAAGAAGTACCATTCCTTATGTTGATCAAATAAAGGGAAAAAAATGGGATTCTGAATATAAAATGTGTTCAGATGAAAATTTTATCTTTAATTAATTCATTTTTCCTGCGAAAGTTTATAAAAATATAGTTGATCAGAAAACTGTCCAATCCAATTAAGTTAAAAGAAACTTACAAGAGCTGCTACGTCTGTCTTTTTCAATTTTATTTTTCAGTGTTTAAAAATATCTGCTAATTATTAATAGCATCATTTTCTTAAGCTTCACTCATTGCTTTTACTAGTATACTTGTAGTCTCCTAATTTTTTAATAAAATATTATTTTTATAATTTTAATTTTAGTTCTGTTGTTAAAATTGTGTTTATAACTTCTAAACATATTAAAAGACTTCAGTTTAAATTTTTTTTAAAAAAAAAAGGTATTTAAGGTCCATCTTCTAGTCATAACTAAAACTTAACATGTGCACAATTTAAAATATGCTTTTTAAGTTATGACATATGTTATGAAATGTGTTGAGTGTATTTTTTAAATATTTTTATCTGAGATCAGTTATTCCTTGACATGTGTATATATGATCTCATTTTTAGAAAACTGAAAATTGCAGTTCATTAAAACATATAAGTATATTGTCAATTAAAAATACTGACAAATTATACAAAGCAAACTATTATCCCTAATCTTCCCTAACATATTTGTTATTATTAGTATGCAGATTCTCAATAATACTTTGGTTGAAGAGGAGGGGGGAAAATTTTAATCTTTACATGAAGAATGTATTTTTTATGTATATGTAAAATCACATTATTCAGATTTGTTTTAAATTTCATATACTGTAATTTCAGGGCCACCAATCCTCGGTTCAGATTATGAGTTCTCTTCAACATCTGGTTATCCACATAACACTTACCATGGCCAAACTCGTCATTATCGACCTAGTCTCAATCTAGATGGTGCTTCTTATACAAAATGCTGTGATTTGCAGTGGAACAACACAGGTGTTTCTCAGTTGCCAACTTCCCGAAAACTATCAAATACAAGCTGTGAAAGTGATAATTTGAGCTCAAATGTAGATTACCATTTACCAGAGTGCCTTCATGTACACGACAAGAACTTCCAATTCTTCCAAGATTCTAGACCTGGTGAAGAGAAGCCATATCATGAATGGTCTTGTCTTCAAGGTACATATGCATATGATAATCCTGGTTCACAAATTTCATCCACCAATGACTTGGCAAGTATTCAGACACGTTTACCACAACAGGGAAAATACGGGCATCGGCGTACTCCTTCTAATGTGTCAAATGCTTCTAGTGCTTCTTCTAATATTAATCCTACTTTTCACAGTGATGAAGCTGATCCCATTGATTCTGAAATAATAACAACAACTCATTTACTTAATTACTCTAATAATACTCCTGCTTTTCATCGTAGAAAAAGCCAAGATAGACCTCCGGATAGACCATCTACTTTGGACATTCAAGGGCACAGTGGACGATTGCCTCCATTGCCTAAGAAAAGTGCCTTTGGTCGAACTTCACCTAAGCAGTGGACAGCATTTTCAAATACGAGCTCGCCTTCAAGAACAACTCCAACTGATGGCTTGGGAACACCCAGTGATGAAAGCTCAGGCAGTATATGTACTTCAAGGGTGCGTTTTACTATTGATGAAAATGGTGGATATGTAAATCGTGCTGCTAGAGCAGAAGAAGAAAAGACTTTATTAGATCTTCCTGCAGAAGGACAGTCACAAGATGGCACTGTTCCTCTGTCTGTCACATTGTACCGTAGCTTAAAGCAACGTCAAATTACGCCTCGCAGTTGGGAGCGTAGTTACTTGGCATAAGTCCAGTTATTTAATGTTTTGGAATTTGTGAATGTTCATTTTTAATGCCAAAATATGCTCATATCCATTACATTCCTGTTAATGATTGTATAACAGTTTTAAGATGTGGTAATATAGTAATAATGTTTTACTTGAGATACTTAAGTGAATGCTGCAGAATATCTCATATTATATTTTTATAACTTAAATATTTTCCATTTTAATTTCCAGTACATTCCTTCCTGTAAATTCCAAGCATTTTGAAACCAGACTTAATATCATTTAGGGTTTGCTGCAGTATTCATAAATATAGTTTTGTTATTTCTGAATTTGATTTTCAGTGCCCTTTTAATATGTGCAATGAATTTTACAGATCTGATAGAACAAAATTTTAATTTTGTTGTATTGTTTTTATTAATATAACTTTAGATCTGAAGATTCCTAGCATATCAAGGACCAAATACCAAATTTTAAAATTCTTTGTGTAATAAAATAATTTATTAATTTAGAATTTTTAAATATGGTACACATGTGATAAGAGAGGTCATTTGCTGTAATTAGCACATTATGTAATCTGTGTTTTATATGAAAATTATTATATCAAATAAATCTAAACAAAAATATTATATTATTGTTTTCTTGAATTTAAATCAAAACATTTGATGGAAACTTAGTGTATTGTAAAAATAATTTAAAGCTTTGCTGAGACTATATAAATTATTGCTCAGAGTTACTTTAGAATATTTAACACTAATTGTTACATTTGTAGATTGTTTTGTGTTGTTATTTTATATTTATAGCTTAAGATGTTTCGGGCAATAAAATTATATTGTGTCATGAAAAGCTTTAAATAATGTTGGAAAATTCAATGCTCGTTTATTTATTACTGTGTTAGTGTATATATATATATATATATGGAATTTTATTTTTTTTAATTTCTTAAGGCAAAATTTTATTTCAGTTGATTATCAGGTTGAAATTATTTTAAATTATTAATTATTATAACACTTCCTTTTGTGAGAAATAATGCACATGAATATTTTTGAATTCATACAGGATTTTAAAATTTTTATGACATTTAAAGTAAAATTATGTATAATTAATGAGCTTTTAAAGCTCATAAGTTACATAAATAAAATAGAAATTTTTAAAGTTGTGAATTTGAACATCTAATATATAAAAGCTTATGTTTTGAAAATGTATCAAATGAAAAAATATAAATTGATTATAGTGTACAAAATCCAGTTCATTCTAATGAACATATATATAGAAAATTTCTGCTGAAAATAATGTGGAATTGTACTTAAAATTTCTTTTTTAAATGGTTGTAAAGTGTTGCATGTAATTGTGTGATAAAAATGACCAATATTTTTCAGAATAATTTTTTGAAAGATTTTGTAGCATATTAGTTTTTATATATTGTGAAAAAAAAGTTAATATAAATGTTTATATACTTCGATCAGTCTGAATTATTAAAGAAATCATTTCTCAAAAGTGAAAATTGGATTTTTAAGATAAATGTTTGCATATTTAATTAACATGTGAGATTAAAATTTTATCACATTCTTAACTTTTTTAGAAATTTACAGTAAATGTGCCTTGAATTTTTAGCTGCTTTGTAAAAAGAAATATTTTTGTATATATTTAACTTTATACTTATAATAATGTATGCAATATAAATTAATAAATGTAACATGTTATGTTGTATAATTTAATCTTTATATAGAGGTCAGTGATTTAAAAAAAAATCATACACAAAGAAGAATTAAATATAAAATAATTTTAATTATTGTTTAATTCTTGGTAAAAGAACTTTTTCCACCAGTTTTTGTAAGAAGATGGATAGATTTAATTGTAATCTCTTTTGATACTGATTTGCACATATCATAAATAGTCAGAGCTGCAATAGTAGCCGAGGTCATGGCTTCCATTTCAACACCTGTTCTGTCAACTGCTTTCACACTAGATTTAATTATTACTTCATGCATACTTGCATTTAATCTCATACTCAAATTTATTACATCAATGATAACAATATGGCACAATGGTATAAGTTCGCTAGTTTTCTTGGCTGCCATTATACCTGCAATATTTGCAATGGATAAAACGTCACCTTTTCTAATTTGATTTTGCTGTAATAATTCAAATGCTTTTGGACCAAGATATACTGTAGCCTCAGCTTCAGCAGTTCTAATGGATTGCGATTTTGAGCTGACATCAACCATATTAACTTTTCCATCATTATTTATATGTGTTAATATCAAATTAGAGGATGTGCAAAACTGTTTCATAAAATTAAGAAAATGACTGTGACTGAGCAGTTTGGTTTTGCTATATGGAAGACATCTGATATGTAAAATACTTTGGCATACTTGCACAATAGTCTTTATTCCTGAAAAATACATTTTATATTACATTTTGTAACTATCTTGGTGCTCTTCTGTTATCGGAACCAGATTCATAAATTTATGCATGTATGCATGTCTTTATATATATGTATGTGTGTATACATGCCCAACATGCATACATGAATACATCTATCCATCCATACATTTCTGAATCCAGTCCTGATAACAGAAGAGTACCACTATCTTCTTATCTTAAATATTATATTAACTGATGAAGTTCTCATTAAAATAAATATTATTTATTATGTTGTAAAGAAAAATTAGGGTACTTTTCCATTTTGCCGGTGCAGGCGATAAAGTCGCCAAAAATGGTACAACCAATGCCAAACAGAATATACTCGCTGGTAACCTTTTACGCTTGATTTTCAAAACAAGTAGCAACAATTTCTTATCAGATTGATTGTTTTTTTCAACACTGGTATAAAATTACATCGAATTTTTACCAGATAGTTCAATTTTATGCCCTAAGTGATAGATATTACTTTCAACGTGTTAGGCTTAGCTTCGCCGGCACTGTGGATGTTGTTTCTTTTTCTTTTGGAAAAATCAAAATTTCTTCTTCGTTTCTGCTAAATAAACTTCTACAGAGCATATCGTGCAGATAACATGATAGAAATTACTTAAATGGCAGATATATTTTGAAAATGTAGTAGAAAGAAAACACAAACCACATATGCACGTTACATGTTTAATTAACCAAGTAAATAAACATGTAACGTGCATTTGTGAATTTTCTTTCTACTATATTTTCAAAGCCATATAAGTAATTTATATATAGCTGCCATATAAGTAATTCGTATCACTAAGGGCTTTCGTGATAATTAAGTCAATTAGGATCCAATCACAATGCTCACCCGAAGGCGAAACTATAGAAAAAGCGAAGTCAAGGGTTAAATTCATCAATTCTAATGAGAATGCTCTAGTAAAGTAAAGCACTGCTGTTTTACACAATTTCTGAGTAAGCTATTCATACGAATTTAAATCATTCTTGCATTTAAATTTGTATTCTATAAGATTTAACTTGAAATAAGATAAGCATTGTTATTTGTGTGGGCATGGCTTGTCCAATTGGATTATTGCTCATCTTTCCTGCCAGTACAGTATTTAACACTAGATTGCCAAGGAAGTCATTTTGACTGCTTTTTAATTTCAATTAGAAAAACAATTATGTACGTTCGGAAACTTAAGTACCGTTTCATTCTAGCACTGTGGTAGGCGTCCTGCGCATGCGCACTAGTCTTTCTTGTTCACTGACTTTCAATTGTCACCATTTTGGTTGCTCTATGTTGTGTTTTCAGTTTGCTGTGCACATTCAAAATGTTTAAGACAATTAATTCTCCCGCTGAGTGCGAGATTCGTGCCATGATTACATTTCTGAATACGAGGAATGTTAAACCAGCCGAATTTTATCATCAAGTGACAGAAGTTTACGGCGAATACGCGATAAGTGATGGAATGGTGAGAAAGTGGGTAAGAATGTTTAATGCAGGTCGAACAAATGTCCACGCCGAGGCTCGGAGCGGTCGGCCTTCTGTTGTCACCGATGATTTGGTAAGGAAAGTTGAAGCAATTCATAGAACAGATGCTTCACAATGACAACTCTTTCAGTGGCATTTCCACAAATTTCACGTACTGTTTTGTTCAAAATTTGTCTGACTGCTGAATTTCGCAACTTGTTCCCGATGAGTTCAAAAAATGCTCACTGATTTTTCACAAAACAAAGCGACTTGGTAGTGCCCTGACATTTTTTCAGCGGGTACAGTGATGAGAGAGAAAACTTTTTAAACCAAATTGTGAAAGTTGATGAAACTTGGGTGTGTCATTTCACACAGAATCGAAAACAACAATCGATGGAGTGGAGACACACTCATTCTCCGAAAAAACAAAAGTTCAAAGTGACAATGTCATCACAAAAAATCATGTGCACTGTCTTCTGGGATAGGAAAGTCGTTTTGCTGACTGAATTTCTTCCCAGAGGTGAAGCCATTAATGCGACACGATATTGTGAGACTTTAACAAAACTAAGGCATGACATTCAAAACAAACGAAGAGGAATGCTCAGTAAAGGAATTGTGTTGATCCATGACAATTCTCGGCCTCATACTGCTGGTGTCACTCAATCGTTAATTCGACAGTTTCATTGGGAGCAGTTCGATCACCCGCCGTACAGCACGGACTTGGCACCGTCCGACTATCACTTGTTCCTGCACATGGAGCGCGAGCTTGGTGGCAAGCGCTTTGGATCTGACGATGACACGAAAAATGCTGTGGAGTCGTGGTTATCAAAATTGGCGGGAAGTTTTTTGACGATGGTTAAAAAACTGGTCCCCGCTAAACAAGTGTTTGATCATTGATGGAAAAACTATGTTGAAAAATAGTTTAAGACATGTATTTTCATGTAAAAATAAAATTGGATTCGAAAAAATTGTTTTACTATTTTTTTTTTCAAAACGGTACTTAGTTTCTGAATACGCCTCGTATATAATCATACAATTTCTTAGAATATTGTGACTTTTTGTACAACTTATAAATGCATTTATTAATAATTGTAGTTACTCCCCCCTCTTCTTTCATTTCCGGTAGATATATATATATATATATGTGTGTGTGTGTGTGTTATACCTATATCGCCCAAAAGTGGTCATATTGACTGCTTGGGAAGTTTTAAATAATCAAATGACTCTTATTATTGAATTGAGTAAATTTGTTATATGACCAGTTCGACTCTGTATTGAAATAACAGTTTTCATTTCTTTCCGATTACCGTCACATGATAAATTGTCGATTTGGGCGTATACTTGATAAGCTGCAGTTTCTCAATAAGCTAAAGTAGTACTTGTTAATTGAATCTTGGTGAACACATTGTTCTGAAACTTGTCAAGCCACATACAAGCTGTGAAAGAAATATCACGACAGATAACTTTTCCACTACCATGTCACTCACGACAAAATTATTGGCCAAAAAAACAACTCTAGTTGGTACTATTAGACGAAAAACAAAAGAGACTCAAATCAGCCAAACAAACGAAGGATAATATGCCTCATTTTTCCACTCTGCTATATAAATCAAAGAATTGTGTACCTATATAAAAGCAAACCAAATAAAAGAGTAGCTGTTCTAAGCATAAATTTGTGAAAATTCATAAAAGTAATAAAAAGATGTTACTGGAAGCTGTTCAATTTTATAACAGCACAAAATTTAGAGTTGATATGATGGATCAAATGGCCAGAAAATATACAGTAAAAGCTAGATCTCATAGATGGCCCTTCCAAATATTTTTCAATATTTTAGGTTTGGCTGCTATAAATGCTTGGATCCTTTACAAAGAAATGACAGGAATACAAATACAATGAAAAGAGTTATTGTTTCAATTAGCAGAACAGCTTTCCACCGAATACAGAGCTGCAAGACAGAAAAAGTCATCAGAACATAAAGACCCACAAGCATCAAATGCAAATCATTCTAACAAACACAAAATTTGTCAAGTACGACTTTGCCACAACAACAAAACAAATAATATATGTGAAGAATGTTTGCAAAAGAAGTACACATAAAAAGTTTTCCACTTTCATTTGCAAAAAATGTACAAATATTAAAGCATAAAATTTTTTTTTTTTCCAAGTGAAGTAGTTTTTTTATTGTTAATATTTACTAATAACTTGTTATATAACTTTAAATAATATAAAAAATATTAAAAATTAATGTTAAACAAATTTCTTCATACATTAGTTATTCTTTCACAATGCAATCATTTTGACTGCTTTTGGGCAATATAACACAGTGCTCGACATTGAAAATGCAACACCAAGAAGAAGTGGTCAGAAATTTATGCAAATTTTAGAGTAGACGCACGTCACTGAGTTATGCGAATGATGTGAAATGCGCACTCTCCGACGCACGTGAAGTAAGATATAAGGGAAGGAACTTGCAGAATGGGCAATATTCGTGTCGTTATTTCTGCCGGACGAATTATCGAAGAAAGTTGGTTTTTGTCCCGGAGGATACACGTAATAGGAGAGAATGCAAGGCCGCTGTCAACGAACGCACTTCCAGCAGATAGAAGATTTTACGAGGGGTATGGTGATCGTACTGAGAAGGGCGGGTTGGTCCTTACGTCAAATCGCAGCCGATACCCATATGGATGCGAGCACGGTGCATCGGCTATGGCGAACATGGTTCGAACAAGGAAATGTGGGAAGAAGGAGGGGTGCAGGTGCAGCCAGAGTGACATCAGCACGCGTGGATCGACGCATCCGCCGACAAGCTGTGGTGGTCCCACAAGTCACTTGTACCGCGATTCAGCAGCATGTGCAAGATCAGGGCTAAAGAAAGAGATACCCTGGATGTTTCACCCGATGCTATTCGCACCAACATTAATCACGCATGCGCGTCAGATCCGTCATTTGAACCCAATCGAAAAAAACGGATTCTATGCACGCGAACTACCTAAGTGTTGTAGTGAATCTTTTTTTAAAGGCGGGTTACTACCTTGGCGTCGTTTATAATTCTTTAAGCGTTGGCGACTTTAAAAAGTTTAGAAAGGAAAATGGGTATCTAATCTTATGAAAAGAAGGAACACATTTCCTTTTATTAAAGTATATATAAAAAAAAGGCAGATTTTTATATTCGCAATGTTTATCGTTTTCCTGAAATGTTTGAATAGTTTTAATGTCTGATTTGGGGGAGGGACAAAATCTTGTTTACATTTTTTGTACTTCTTAGAATACATTTAGCTTCAAAGATGTGTTTTGCGCAATCAAGACTTTAATTCATTCCTCTTTGAAAATTTCCGTCCCAGAAAAGATAATAAAAATTAGACAAAGGATTTCTGTGTAGAAAATTTAGGCATGAAATGAGTTAAAAGCTATTAAATGAATAATTAATCATATAATACTGGTTATTAACAATTCTGTATGCCTCTTTATTTTTATTTTTATTCTTTTTTATGGAAATACTTGGCGTTTTTAGACCAGAAAAAGTATTTCAAAGAACTTGAAATATTAGTACAAACACATTAATAAATTAAATTGAAATAAATAATGGGATGTAATTTAAAAGACACAAATAATTTAATGTAAGAGATTTAGATTTAAAAATTTGCACACACAAATGATTTATCAGATTTTATAAGGTTTTATTTCATTAATAACTTTGATTTTGAAATATGGCATTTGAACCTGTAAACATGTGTGGATACTGAAAAAGTGATGAATTTTCTTATTGAATAATAAATTCTGACAGTCCTATGCTATAAGACTAACGTCTAAGTTTGCATAAAAGTTCCTCGATTAAATAGAATAATTTAAGTAATTTCTGTATTCTTTTTGTCAAAACATTAAAGATTTTTTAACTAATTACGCGTCCTCGCTTGCAATTAGAACCATCATTAAATCCCTATTTTATCTAATCAGTTCCTAAACATTACCATGTATATAGATTGCCCTCGTCTTTGTAACTGATAATTATTACTTGCAATTTATTCTCTTGCTGGTGAACTCTTAATTCTTTCTATTGCTGAGTTAGGGTTAACAACCTTTGTTCCCGCTACCCCCTGCCTTACGGAAATCGGCGTAAAATGCTGGTACCTGGGCTGATTGTGCGCATGCGCGAACGTATGTAGCTATTCGCACCGTCGGTGCGATTAGCCACTTCGGAATGTTTCCGTGTCGACCGGAACCACTTCCCGTCGATTGGTTGAACGTGGCCTGCACCAAGGCCAACTAGATATCTAGGACACTCACGGCGTCCGTTAAGAAGACTGCCATTGACCCCACAGCATAGACACCAACGTTTAGAATGGTGCGGGACTGGAACGATGCGTGGATGACAGAATGGCGAAACGTCGTATTATCAGATGAGTTACGCTTCTGTTTATCCAGTGACAGTCGCCGCATACGTGTGTGGCATCGACTTACAGGCAGATCTAATCCGGCAGTAACTGTGGAACGCCCCACCACGCGACAACGTATCATAATGGTTTGAGGCGCTATTGCCTACGATTCCAGGTCACCTCTAGTTCGTATTCAAGGCACTATGACGACTCAACAATACTTGGATAAGTCTGCGGGGCCGGTGGCAATACCCTACCTTCAGGGTTGCCTAATGCATTTTCACCAGATAACGCCCGACACAGTGATCGCCTCCCAACATGCTCTGCAAGGTATACAGATGCTTCCTTGGCCCCGTACTCTCCTGACCTGCCACCAATCGAACACGGATTGATGCCGTTTGCAGACTTGCCCCTGCCCCCCTCGTTCAGAAGACGACTGTGGCATGGTGACAGGATGGAGACCCATCCCTCAGGACCACCACGCATTCTAATTTGACTCTATCTAGAAGGGTTTCTTCGTACATCGCTGTCCACGGTGGTCCTACATCCTCCTAAGCCGACGCCGTTCTCGCTCTGTATTCTGACTATCATTTTGAAATAAAGATCACTTACTGCTGCTTGCTGTCTCTTTTTTCCAAATTTCATCACATTCTGAGCACTCTTTCTTGGTGTTGCATTTTCAATGTCGAGCAGTGTACTAAGTTTCAGTCTTTCTAGTATTAACTCTGTGTATGAAAATCAAACTTTTTAATGTGACATTAACACTATACATTTAAAAAGTTGATAATGTTCTTTGCTGCTGAGATTTGCTGTAGCTGCAGAAACCTTATCACACTTGAAAATTCGACGATGTTTCTATTAATACAATTATCTTGAAAATGATTTTTGCGATGCTGGTACAACACCTGTGCCATCTACTGAAGGTTTTTGAACGCTATATTTATTTGCTTTCCCTCAGGCAGGAAATTTGAATAATATCTTGTTACTTTACTTTCTGAGTTGCCTTTCTAATTTACTAGAAATAACATTTATAAACAATAAAAAAGAATTTACATACTTAACCACCAATGAGAATCATGGGCCTATTTTTTGATTTTGAGAGATTGAACATACCTGTAAAAAAACATTTTATGATTTGGAAAATTTATTCAGTTTTTTTCAATTCCATAAAAATGATACTTTCCCATACTAAACATTATACTAGTAAAATATTTTAATAGATATATAAATTTTTAAAAATATGCAAATAGTCTTGAGAGTTCTCAACTGTAACATATGTACAAGTTAGTATTCTGCACTGTTAAGTATATGCTCTTCTGCATACACTTAATAGTGTAGCTATATCCAGCTTATGCTATACATTTACATAAAAGTTTGGAGAAAAGATCTAAATTACAGTTAAGAGGGTTTTTTTTTTTTTTTTTTTTTTTTTTTTCCTCCCTAGTCCTGATGTTTTCATTGTGGTGTGAAAATCTGAGATTAAATATTGATTCTGCTCATATGTAATAATTCTTCAATCATTCAATCATTAACTATGTAAATCCAATTTTAATTTTAAAAATTGCTGGACAGAGAATTGTTCAGTTTTATGCAACTGATTTTTAACTTTGTTTATTATTCCTTAGGGCTTAAAATTCTGTATTATATAATTTGCTACAGTTTTATAATGTATAATTTAGGCATTACATTGATGAATGCAAATCATGACAGGCAAGTTTTCTTAAAAGTACATTCTTCCAGAACTAATTTGAATTGCAGATTCCTTATGTATACAGTTTTTTAAGTCAATAGGTTAAAAGTTGTATTAGATACTGAATTATGTATCTGAATTATGTATGTATCAACTGAAAAGAAAGCAGTATTGTGGAACCTAACTACAGAAAATTTCTGGAACAAAATATAATTCAGAAGGTTTAATTTGATATAGTACTGTGGAAATTTTACTCTTATAGCACCTCTTGCCGAGCTGACAATTTTTAATTTTCTATAGAACATTATTCCTATATTAACAATTCACATTTTAACCTTTTTAAGTGATTCTCGGTCATTGAAAATTCCTCAGCAATCATTTTTGGCCATACAGATTGGGTTCTTTTGAACTTCTTCAATGGGCTTTTCGATGACTTAGATCTTGCTTCGATTCTAGTGTCACATGATGGATGCAGGTTTCATCCAATATAAGAATACAGTGCGGAAATAATACTTTCTTCATTAAACCACATTAAGTGCATAAGAGAAAATACGATCCTTACAATTTTTTCGCCTTCTGTGAGTTGCTTATGAACCCAGCAGAAACGCATATTCTAGTAGCCCAGTTGCTCATGAAAGGATACAGTGCACATTGCCCACAAATATCCAAAGATATGGAGTTCCTTTAATAATATCACTAAATTGTATGCAGCAATAATCTTAAATCAGGGTAAGGCAAACACTGTCACCTGTGTATCACTGGACACCTGGATTATGTGTTATTTAACTGACCATTTTTTAAGAGAAAAGCATTAAGGCATAACCTATTCTAAAAAAAAAAAAAAAAAAAAAAAAAGAAAAGAAAAAAAAAAAAAAAAAATCAGCTGAAGATTATTTTAAACTGTGAAAGATATATAAAGCTCCATATATTTTCATCTATGGTACTGCAGTTACTTAAAAATTATATTACCAAAAAGAAATTGTTTTACAGATGCAAGTACAGAAGAATTGCAGATAAAGGGACCAAATAAAACCACTGCCCATATTGGATATTAAAATTTGGTGAGTGGGCTGGCTTCTCTTGCTGCTAAACAGGCATTTAATATGATGCAAATGAGAAAAATGTTATTTTGTCCTTTATGGTGCTTTATTCGAAAAAAGATTATACTAAAAAAAATTAATCAATTTTTGTTTTTCTACTTTTTATAATCTCAATTTTTTACATTTTTTCCAATAAAATTTATTTTTATTCATGAAGATTCTAAAGTTAACATATAGCTTGTTTTGCTTATTATATTAAAATTAAAGAAAATTTTATTTGTATAAAATAAAATATGTTACATATTCTAAAATAAATATTATAATATGATTGAATTTTTGCACTTACATTTCATGATCTTAATTAAAAAATCACAATTTTAAAATGGTGCATATTTAAACTTTGCAACTATTTAAGCACATATTTTAGCTCTGGAGAAAAACTTTAAAAAAATTATACCTGCGTGTTGCTGCTTTTTTCCCTGTACTGCTATTGAAATGATGTTTTCTACAGTTTCACTCGAAGATTTTTGTCGTAGTGCATCTCTTAATGATATTTCATCTTCTCCAAACAAGCAAACCTATAACCATGCATTACTTATAAAACATTACAAATATCTCATTTTAATTTTCAGTAAGAGAAAAGACTTCAGTAATTAATAATATTTATGTATCTAAATTATTATAACTTACCTTAAGATTACCATCGGCAGTAATACGTAGGCGGTTACATGAACTGCAGAAATTTTTGGTCATTGAAGTAATAAATCCAATCTGCCCTTTAAAGCCAGGCACCTTGTAAGCCTATATTTAAATATCTGATCAGATATTTATAAAGTACAAATATTTCATTATAATAATAATATTATTATACACTGGTTATCATAAATTAAGGAAAAATCACAAAAATAGCGATAACTTTCCCAAAATAACCAACCGTGTAAAATTTGATATGTTGCCAATAAGAGTAGCTGAGTAAACTGCAATATGTAAATTAGTAGCGCTGCACCAAAATACGCCATCTGCGAGGAGGAAAAGCATGCTTGAGAGCAAGCCCCATATTTCATTCATAGGACATCAGAAATCTGAGATAGCTTCCCAGCATCTTTGCCTGCAGAACTACGATGGAAGCCATTGGGACTAGAGGCAGGATCACAAGTGGCCAGATGCTCAAGTGAGTCCTTCTGTGGTTCATATACTTTAGGCGATTCAAACCACAGATTCGCCTCTAGAGTTCAGCCAAGGACGGCTAACTCTAGACAACCTGATGACGGATATTTGACATTATGTGCACGCAGGAATAGAACCGTATTTTGACTCTTCTTAGATACTCCCTTGCTGCACCACCGGAGTTTGGTGTCAATGTCACTGTGCGTAGAAGGCTTCATGAGGTGGTTTGTATGCAGACGACCAGCCTTTGCGTGCCGCTCACGTCACGCCATAGGAGAAACCGTTTGCGTAGGCACGACAACATGTCCACTGGACCTTGATCAGTGGAGGGCTGTTCTCTTTACGGATGATCAGGTTTAGTCTAGAAACGTAGTAGGCGTTATTGATATGGAGACAAAACGGAACCCGTTATCATCTGTCAACATCCGTTAAAGAGATGCATACTGAAGAGGCAGTGTCTGTGTTTCGGTGGCATCTCTTTGGGTACGCACAGACCTCCATGTCCTTCCAACGGAACCCTGAACGCTCCGGTTATAGAGATGACATCCTTGATATTCTTATGTGCGCCCATGTGCCGGGGCATAGGTGATGCTTTCCTGTTACAAGACGATAACTCAAACCTCGCATCAGGGTTCGCATCGTAGATGATTATCTTCAACAGGAAACCGTTATCGCATGGAGTGGCCAGCTCGATCCCCGGACTATCCTATCGAGCACGTTTGGGATGATTTGAGAGACGTCTAGCTGCTCTCAGTCTGCCCCTCAGACCTTGCCGCGCTTTGCAACAGCTTTGCAAGAGCAATGGCTCTCGCTTCCTATGGAACTGATAGACCGCATAATGAACGCATCACCCGTCACTGTATGTTGCTGTATTGCTTCTAAGAGGCGACCATATTCCCTATTGAAGGTACTTTTCCCATAGCAAACTGCCACCTTTGATTTGTTCATTTTATACATGTGCTAATTTCTATACTACCATAATTGTCTGGTAATTTATTTTTATGTTATTTGATACCATGCTATGTGTTGTATATTGTGGGTAAGTTTTATAAAATTCTACACGTAACTTTTTCAGTAATCGTGATTTTTGTGATTTTTCCTTAATTTATGATAACCAGTGTATATTACTAATGTAAGAAATAAATTATATTATAATAAACATAATTAATATAATAGGTTATGATTTTTTTTCTTTCTTATTATGCGTGCATGTATTTGTTATTTATACTATAATCGCTTTTTAATATACCTGTTTAATATCTTTTTAAGTTCCATAATAAAACTCAAAATGTACACAAAGATGTAAAATTTGTCCCGAATTATGAAGTTACCATTTAAGAAGTCTTAATTCCATATGTAAGCACGATCGTAAGTTATTTAATTGTTATTAGACAAAATATCTATTGAGAAAATGGCAACAGCTAATTTCTGGATGTCGTTCTATTTATAATTCTAAAAAAGATATTGAGATGATGTACGCTTGAAATGTTTAATGGTACGATGCAGTAAGTACGTTTGTTATGTTATGTAGAATACGTTACGTGTAAGTTATTAAGATTTATCTTTAAATAAATGTTTGTCTTTTGCAACCATTTTACGAGTGATTAATTTAACTACAAAAGGAAGTTAACACATGACACCAAAAATATAATATTTTTATCAAATTTTACTAACTCTGTAAGTTTTAAAGTTAATAAATATAAAAATTTTATGTCCTTTGAAGATGAGAAAAGTCTTTCGAGTTTGAATCAACTAACTGATTTCTTCCTACTGATGGTATATGCCATGCTATAAACAAGTCTCTACTTACCTGGCAAGTTTATGTCGTACATTAGAGAAGTTAAAGCGGCAAGAATCATCGTAATGTTCATAAATTTGTAGGACTATTTCGAAGGTTTAAATATAAAACCTGCTTCTTCAGCTGCAGAAGTGCAAATCACAAAAGGAAACCAGAGCTCAGGCAATATGAATGAAAGGAAGGAAGGTAAGCTACTGGTGCCATCTAAAAATTGGAAATGGGATCATTAACTAGATTTGAAAGATTTTTATAAATGAGAAACGCTTCTAGAAAGTCTAATTTGCCAAAAGAGAATGTTTTTTGAATAATTTTGGCTGCTAAAACATGGAAAATGTTATTTTCTGACCAACAGTGTTGGGCATCAAGGGCTTTATGTGTTTCATTTTTTTCTTAACATATGCCTCATGTTCCTTAGCGCGAAATTTTAAGGCTCTTTTAGTTTCACCAATGTAAATTATAGCATATTGGCAAAGAATCCTACACAATACTCCCAGACGTTCATATCCAGAATGGAATCCTTAAGTATGGAACTGCGAATTTTACTGACATAAGAGAAAATTGTTAAAGTATGTTTAAAACAAAAGCAAATAATAATGCATAATTTAGTTAATAAGTTCTGGCAATTGTGAGTGTTGTTATCATCAGGAGATCGCGCTTAACGATGCTGTTGTTCTAAAAATGTAGTTAAACTTTTGCTTTTATTTCCAATTACAAAGTTACAACTTTTACTCTATTATCAGTTTTTGGGCTGAGTGACGAAATGGCCTCAGAAAATAAAATCCACTTCACCCGGTTTAAAATACTACGGTGTTTATTTTTACAAAAAGAATACGAAAACGTAGTTAGAACAGACTCGCATCTTTATTACCATTTTTAAACTCAACTGACACAGATAGAATATTCTAAGTAAACAATACAATTTCTGTTGCCATTCCAAAAAGGTAAATATAAAACGATATAACTGTATTCATTTCCAACATTCTCCCCACCTTGCAAAATGGGGATTTTGCAACATCAATATAATTTAAAGTTCCAAACTAAAATTTAAAAGAATTTAAAAAAATCAATAAAGTTCATATAATTCCAAATTCTCAATAAATTCATAAGTCCAGTTTTTGTGGAGGATGTACTTCTCTGACAAGACGAGTTTTTCTAAAACATCTTAGAGATGACTTATTTCCTGTTTTTTGATAGGTGTATATTGAACCTTTTGATCGTTTTGTTTTATTTTATAAATTTGCTTGCCTCCTACATTATTCTGAACTATTGTTTAGTTCGAAAGGGAAGAGGCGTTGAACCAAGGCCAACTAGATGGCCTAAGTACAACTCCAAAGGATGTTTTTAGCTTCACAAGATGCGTGATATTATCTTTCCCTGGGAACAATTCAAGTACTCGACTCAACATCCAGTCTAATCGTTTCTTTTTATGATTTCCGATGAGAACAATGTCATTCACTTTAATTATTCCTCTTTTACCCTTTGCAATATTCCGGAGAAAGCCTAGATATTCCTTCTTAAATCGATTTTTCTAAGTCCTTCGCTAATTCGTTGTAAGTATTTCCATCTTTCCATAATACTCATAAAATTAATTTCATCTAAATCACACACATTACTGCCAATTCAGTTTTGTAGGAACATAGAAGGTTTTAACGGTCACAAATCATCGCCTTCCTCCAACAGAAGGTCAAAGGTCTGTTGTTCATTAGGCTTTCACATTCGCAAAGGAGGGTTAGAAATTCTTCATACCCTAAACAAGCGTGTCTAAAATTTTTTCCGAGGAGATCCTTTAAAATTCTTATTAACGTCTCCCAAAATCCTCCTCATCATGACGCTGTGGGAGGATTGAATTTTCATTTTATTTTGATTAATGCACACTTCCTTTCGATATCAGCCCAATCCAATTGATTCATAGCTTTATTTAAACCTACGAAATTCGAACCATTGTCCGAGTATATGACTTCAACTCGACCTCTTCGTGAAATAAAACGTCTAAATGCATCTATAAAGACGTTTGTGCTCAAAGAAGTAATTAATTCAAGATAAACAGCTCTAAAAACTCCACAAGTGAAAATTACTATCCAAGCCTTTAAATTCCCTTTCAAGAAAACTGGGCCGGCGAGATCGATTCCTGTCACTTGAAAAGTTTTGAGCATTTTTATCCTGTCTTCAGGTAAAAGAGGAAGAGGTACTTTTAAGGCTTTTACAGCATATCTCTGGCATGTGACACATCTTTTACCACAGAACGTACAGTTTTTCTACCTCTGATAATCCAAACTCTTTCTCTCAAAATCATTAGAAGTGTTTGTGTTCCAGCATGTTTATGTTCTAAGTGTAATTGCTCTATCATTCTTTCTACAATTACACTTCTGGAAGGTAGCAATATAGGGAATGTATATTCCAGCAAATCTGAAGAATCTAAAACTCGAGATTTCATTCTTAAAATTCCACTTTCATCAACAAAAATCTGAAGATTTTTCAGATCAGACTTTTTTCTTTCTTCTTCAAAAGCATCCTTTTCTATAAGAAAAAATGAAGTTATTTCGGCTTTCTCGAATTCTTCAACGGATATGTTAGCCAAACGATTTTCATTTTTCATATAAGTGGGTCGGAATCTTAAAATCCAAGCAATAGTTCGTACAATCATAAAAAATTTCGAAAATCTGGAGGCAAGTTTAGCTAGAATAGTTTCAACTGTTGAATTCTTCGCCGAAATGACAGTTTGACGTCGTTCTTTATCGATTTCTTTCATATCAAAATCAGGATCATTTGAAGGCCAAGTTTCTGGAGGTTTCTTCAGAAATTCAGGTCCTGTCCACGATTGGGATTTTAGGAGTTGCAATGGATAGCATCCTCTTAACAATAAATCAGCAGGGTTTAAGATCCCTGGTATATGTTTCCAACATCCTTCTTTGCTGTAATCTTGAATCTCTTTAAGTCGGTTTTCTACAAAAACAGACCAATTATTTCGCTTCTTTAGCCATGCTAAAACCACTGAAGAGTCTGACCAAAAATAAGTCTTCGTGTTTATACAATTCAAGCTTTTAATATCCAGTTATTATAATCTTACACCCAGAAGTGCGGCCATTAATTCCAACCTCGGTAAAGTGATTTCTTTCAATGGGGTAAGTCGGGATTTTGCTAGGACAAGACTCAAGTAAACTTCTTCATGTTCTTCCGTTCTTAAAAATATACAGGCAGCATAAGCCAGTTTACTTGCATGGCAGAAGATGTCTAAAGAACTTGTTGAATTAATGAAAATTTTTCTTGGGATTCGGCAGTCATTCAAAAAATGTACTTCTGTAGACCATTTACTGAATTCTTTCTGAATGTCTTCTGGTAGTTCCTCGTCCCAGTCAGACTTTAATTTCCAAGTCTTCTGCAAAATAATCTTGGAATAAGAAGAGCTGGTGAAGAAACTCCTATAGGATCAAAAACTTTCTGAATGCATGAAAGGAGGATTCGTCTTGTGGGAGCTTCAGACCAAGATACTATTCGGCATCCCAATTCATCTGATGGGTGGTACCACTGAAGACCGAGCACATTTTCTGGACTTTCATTTAAATCTAAACTACTTTTCCAATCTCTAAGGTTGAATCAAGCTGTAGACATCAGTTCTGTGGCTTCATTAATGTGTGATTCGGTTTCTTCTTCTTTAAAAACAACACTAAGACAATTATCCATGTAGAATGTGCCTTTTCTGCGATCTTGCTTAAATATCCAAGTGGATTTTTTAACAAATTATTTAGACATGCTGAAAGAAGAAATAAGGAACAGCAAACACCAAAAACTACTCTGCAATGCCTAAATTTAACAATATTTCCATTTTCCCACCACAAGAAGAGTAGGAAATCTATCTGCTGGATCAATTTCAATTTATAGAAATGCCTTTTCTATATCAGAAGATAAAGCGATTGCATAAATTCTAAAATTAGTTAAAACTATTGGAATTAAATCTATTAAATTTGGACCAACTTCCATACAATCGTTCAGAGAAGATCCATTTTCATCTTTGTTTGATGCATCAAATACGAGCCTAATTTTCCTAGTACTACATTCTTTAAAAACAGCTCTGTGCGGTAAATAATGTGTCCTTTCATTGGCATTTGTTTCCGGTACAATTTCAATTATTTCCATTTTCCACCAGTCTTTAATTACGTCGTCATATTCTTGAAACTTGTTTACTTCTTCAATTTATTCGAGGTATTCTGGAGTCTTTTTTCAACAGCCTTAAGATTAGATTGTAAGGAAGTATTCTGGAGACATTTTTCAGCAGCCTTAAGATTAGATTGTAAGGAAGGGCAACCATCAATCCATGGAAGACGTACTACATAACGACCTGTAGCTTCATTTCGTTTGGTAGTATTCTCAAAAAATTTCATGAGTTCTTTATCTTTTTCCTCCTGTGTAATTCTTTCAACAGGATCTCAAATGCATAGTGTTTCTAACTTCCAAAATTTCGATGTTTCAATAGAGCATTTCATTGAAATAAGTAAACAGGAAAAAATAGACGTTGGGTCGTAACTAAGAGTGTCCAACCTAAAGTAGTTCTGACAGCCACTAAATTCTTTTCAACAGATATGAACTCAGGTGTTACAATTTTCGCCCAAGCATCTGCACCTAGTGATACCTCGATATCTTCCGAACAATGATTACCTTTTAAATAATCACTTATCTCAATTCCTTTACTTTTAAGGATTTGATAAACCTTCTCATTTTTAAATTTTGGTACGTTAGTACAAATTTCACCAGATCCAATAACTTCAAATTAAAAAACAATTTTAAAATCAAGGTTTGATAAGTTAGTTTTGTACATATCATATGTCGAGAACGGGATCCTCTTAACACCGAACAATACTTGCGATAAAGTTACCTTGCCCTGTGGTATCAAATGACATTCTTTTGCAATTGAATTCTTAATGTAACTTTTCTGAGAGCCTGAATCAGATAATACTCTCACTGGATATGTTTTATTATCAATAACATTATGTGCAATCAGAGTTTTTAAATATGAAACAGAATAATTAGATGAAATAGATAAAGTTTTAACTACTTCTGATTCATTTTCATTCTGAGACGTTTTATCATTTTCAATATTTCTAATTTTAGAACACATTATAGAACAATGCTGACCTTTACATAACGCACATCTTACAAAAACTCGACATTTTGAACTTATATG